GACTCCGTCCTTGTAAATAAAGATACTTTTTGATTTGATTTTACAATTGTTTAGCATTTGTTACATAAAATCAAGTTTTGGCAATGAGAACAATTGTGTTATGTTCATTGTAAGAATTTTGTGTGCAGTTCGCAGTACCTCCATATGTAGATATTTTAACTTAACCTCAAAACTGTGACAATCAAGTTTTAGCACTAGATATAGTCAACAACAATAGAAACGTTATATTATTTACAGTAAATTTTATATCAAAACAACAGATATTGTGTGATAGCATTATCATCGTTTTATCAGTCAATCTCTGATTGTACTCAATTTAGACGGACAAAGAGCCGTAACCTTATACCTAACTTAAAAGATAATAATCTATGTTCGGTACATATAGAACGAACATAAACAACGGATGATGTCCACTTAGTGATATGAATAATTGCAAATAAATATACGTATAGATATTTTTTGAAAAGACGTTAGCTTAATGAGTTATTATTTAAGAAGTAATCAATCTTTTATGACAAGAACCTGGGTAAATACGAAATTTAAGGGAAGAACTTATGAAACATCAAAAGGAGGATTTATTTGTATATGCGGAAAAGGCTTAGGGCGAGTGGAATTGGGGAAAAAATGGTTACTATACCCCATAGCTCTTTGGAAGGAGCGGAAAAATCTCAAAGGTGTGTAATTTTTGAAAAAGAATAAGTGTGGTAAAAAAGTAAGAGACTAATGGATTTTAATATAAATATAACGTGTAGGGCCTACTCTTAAAAAAAGGATCATCAAAATACAAATCATATCTAAATTTTTTTAAATGAAATTAGTAATTAGGTTTAAAACAACATAATTTAATACCAAATAGTAAAAATATTTTAACCTCATTTTTAGTAACATTACTCTGATTGGTAAAGAGATTCAGAAATGGTTAAGGCAGAATACACAAATGTAGTACTTATTTAGAAATTACACCCAAAACCACAAATTAGACATAATTTCTATGGTACTATGGAAGTAAAAATGATTGGGTAATTTAAGGGGAAAAAGGAGAGGTAAAGATAATTAAATAAAAAAAATATAAATAAAGATAAAGGTTTACCGGTATAGTTAATAAAAAAAAAAAAAAGAAGAGTTGGATAAATAACAAATAACAATTAGAACGAAAAATTGAAAAAAATGTGAAAAAATAAATAAAGATCCCAAAGTTAAAAAAAAATGAATCACTATCAGTAATTGAATAATTTTAATTAGAATAATTTGAAGGATAAAAATTTAAGGTCTAGCCCCAGATCTTCATAATACTTTTAGATGAAACTTACACTCAAGTAAACTATCTAAATTATCTTTAAGGAATAAGTTAAATATTAAAAAGGTCAGGAGTGATGGAATACCTGAGTCTTTTTAAGATCTGTAAGGAACTTTGTAACGTTAACTCGCCTTTTCAATCTATTATTTTTTCCTTAAATGAAGGAAGAAATATTCAAAAAAAAAAGTTCTCGGAATAAAATAACATAGTATTTTATATTAAAAGTTTGGTAGTTTTTGAAAAATATTTTATTAACTTTTATTTAAACAATACCTCAACAACAACACGGTTTTGAAAAAGTTAACTATAGTAATCTTTTAGTATTTAAAATATATTTTAGAGTATGGAAAAGGGGAGAAGTAGAGAATAAAAAAAAAAAGTTAGATAGTAATAATAAACTTTTAGGTAGGTATTGTGGGGACCTTTTTAGATGATAAAATCATATATAAAAAAGAAGGCAAGAGTTGAGGATAAAAAAGAGTAGGTAGGATATGACGGTATTGTTTAAGTTTTTTATATAATAAGTTGAATTAAAATTAAAAAAATTTTTCTAAAAATTAAATCAATAATCATTGTGAAAATTAAAAATCTAAAATTAGAAACTATATAAAATAAATAAATTATAATAAATAAAAATTAGAAAATTACTTTTATAGGAAAAATAATAAAATAATTTAATAAATTTAATACACCCAATAAAAAATTTAATTAATAATACTTAGGTAATATAGAATAAAATGACTTTCTTTATAAGATATAAAATAAAGATATAAAAGTTTATAAGTATATAAAACCTTTAAAAAAATTTATAAAGTATTATTTGCTTTGAAAAAATAATAGGATTATTAAATCACATTGGAAAGTTAGAAAATCTCAAAAAATTTTAAATTAATTTTAAAAAATGATTAACTATTAAGGATTCATATTTTAAAATTTAGAAGAGCTAAAAATACAAATTAGATAAATCTTTAAAAATAGTTCCTTCAGTACAAAACAGGATGACCCTATTCATATCTATAAGTAATATCTAAATAAGCTAAGCTATATTAAAAAATATAAGTGATTGAAATTTATTTAAAGATCGTACGAAAAATAAAATAATAATAAAAATTTCCATACGATATAAAAATAAAATTAAAATTTAAAATTAAACTACTTAAAATTCCCTTACTATTTGATAATATATTGTAGTTTTTAATTATTGTATTTTTTTGATTTTAAAATAAAGAAAAAAAGGAAATACTAATTAAGAAGGAAATTAACTTGAAGTATTTTAATATTTTGTTTAATTTTTGGGACTAATTAAACTCCCGGTATATTTATTTCGCTTTAATAAGGTTTCAGAGTGGATTTAGAGTTCTGGTTAATAATATGAAATTAATGAATAATAAAACAATAAAAATACAAAGAATAACGTCTTGGAATAAATTTTATTTATCTCCAAAAATATTGAACCGATATTGATATAATTGCGGCTAAACGGCTTTTAACGGCTAACATAACGTTTTGTAGAATACTTATGTTACCATAAAGTCTACACGCGTACCTAAAAATAATACAATTGAAAAGACAATAATTACGTCTTAGCATATTTATTACACCTGCTGTACCAAAAATTGATTGAGGTACTGTTTAGTACCAAAAGCTTTATAATCTTTGAGTTGGTGAAAATTATATATTTTTATTTAACAAGGATTTTTATGCTCTATATAATATTACTTTTCTTTGTTTATGTAAACACTAATGTTTTATCTAGAGTCCTTTATTGTAATTAAGCTTTTATATTTACCTTTAATCATTCACCTTCACACAATGACTAGGTGTCGGTCTTCAAATCTTGTTAGTGTTCTTAAAACAGATAGGAAGAATCGTATTTCATACGATTTCACATTTTTTTTGCCACAAAACTTAATCACATACGTTACTCTTGGTAATTTCAGTTAAAAGATTATTTTTATTTACGATTTACGCTTGTACACAACGCGGTCAGATAATACTGTCAATACGTGCTACACATAAACTTGTTCAGTGTCGACTAATGGAAAATTGAAATGGGCTTACCCACCTACAAGTTGTATGCCTATATATATGTTATGAACTTATGCCTAAGTAATTTTAGTATCTGGTTATCAAGTACCGACTAGAAGTGTGAATTATAAATATTAAGAGATATTTATTATTCACCTTACCTTATTCGTGATTGAGTTGATGTGATGATCAATAATTTACGAAATCGATTGATATATTTATGGCGGCAAATTTTTTTACAAATTAATCGCTAATAAGTAATTTAAAACCTATACTTTTTCGATAAAAGTAAAACGCAAATGTATAACAGTATTCAAATATGCCTACTCAACAACCATTACAAAGTGTGCTTTGTGCAGAAAGTACGTAGTAAAAAAGCGGCAGGCGCAATGTTTTGACTTGCAAAGCAAATAAAAAAAAATTAAAATAAATTTTATAAAACACAACATTATTACAAAAACCAAAGATGAATAATGTTTTAGTCGAAACAATATTAATAAAAAAAATAAGCTTTAATTTTCTAACCTCATAACTCAACGTAATAGAAACGCATACAATGATGTAATATTTATTTGATTATCAAAAAATAAACGACTATTTATGCCGTATTCTAACTACCTGACGAATATTGTTGACGTTAGTCCATAGTAGTAAAGACTGATGAGAGATGGATTTGTACAGGCACAATAGGGGTCAGAAATCAGATGAGAAAGCCCTGAACTTTAAAATATGCCCAGCCTACTACTAAAAGAACGTTCAATCGTTCACAGTTAGAAAATCACAATTCTATGCCTATAGATGCCACCTATTTTTTTATCTTGAAACATAAAGCAGTTGCTAGTGTCATCTGCTGTTGCAAATATAGAAAGGGGCTGAAGTAACAAACGACAAGAACAAATTGATGCGTCAGTTACATACCTACCTAAAGAGCAAAGTGTTCTCATTCTAACCGTCATAACGGTGATGTCAAACGTGATTTCCACTCTGCTAGGAAATCGTATCGTTATGTCAACTTCGGTGGAGAACGCACGAGGGTCTATATTTTCTTTTTACTAGTAACACCGGCTTGCCATCACACATACGAACATAATACGTATGTTTGAAATTTCTTGGTAGTCACGCTTACAAGTAGAAAATTCTTTTATTTGATGTATCAAAAATAGTATGTGATTTTCTCGTATACGTGCATACACAATGAGGAACAAATAAATAAACGTAGAAAACAAAATAACGTTTTACTCAAAATCGGTTGTATTTACATTTCGTCCATAGAAGCAAATAAATGTGTCAAGATCACAAATAAATAAATCGTACTAAGGTATTCACATTAGCCGTACGTCGACGTCGTACACATGCGACAGGTTGTCTTACCAAAAGGCGGGGCGTCAGAAATTAGATAAAGATCATTTACTTTGTTTATTTTCAGATTTCATTAACCAAGTTTAAATGAATTTAGTAATATTATAACAGATTGCTACCAAGACGTATTTGCTAGGGCTGCTGCGATTAGCGCGGCGGATCTCCGCTGGATGCCAGGTGTCGGGTACAAAAAATATAACCATTTATGGCGCGCAGTCATTGTTCAATCGTCCGGCATACAGCGAGACGCGACCGCGTGACGGATATAAGCAAACAATTATTTATGCATGTTGTCAGAAACGAATATGCGTCTAAGATGGCCGCGGCCTGCCCGTACATCGCTGACAGGAAACGGGTCGACAACGGTAAGCGCTGGAGGAGCGATTTTCATGGCGGCCGACGCGTTGCCGCGGCTTGGGTAAGTATCGGTCGCGACAGACGCCGGAGGGGAGCGCGTGGCGCGGGCTGGGGGACCCAAGCCGGGCGTGCGGCAAATCGAACGAGGCCACGCGCGCCGCGGGAGGGGGGACGCTGACGCCACTAGCCGCGGCTCCCCCCGCCACAGCCGACCCCTCATAAATTGTAACGTACCAACCTACATACTAATTTGTTAACCTAGGAATCTCTCATTCCACTCTTCGAAACATTCGATAACCGAACCAGTGTTTATCCTAATTATTACAATATGGACAAAATGGCCGGCACTAGGTGAGGCTCGCTATCGCAACGGGGCGACCGACGCGCTCTCTTTATCAGTCGTTGGGGGAGCGAGCGGCGGGCGAGCGATGTGCACGAGATAATGGCAAAATTGTGATGTTTTTCTTGCAATGATATAAGGCCGAGGTACGACTACCGCATACATCGGCCGTCTGTACGATAGCGTTATTAGTCGCGGTCAATTTCATAGCTAGCGATAGCAAATAGATCTGTCACATCGTCGGAAATTAAACTTGAATTATAATGACAGTATTACACGTAAATAAGTCTTGGGCTCCACTTATGCTAAATATGTACACACAAACTCTCATCAACAGTAGGATTGAGCTTTGTGACTTAATCTATTAATACAGCCTCGCAGCTCAATATTATGTTTATATTTCATCACTGAAAACGATTGTCCCTACAGAAAAATATCACAACTTCACCATTAGGGCTGACAGAATAACCTAAATACAGAATGGATTCGCTTACAAATTAAGTTTACTTTCAAAACACATTTGTACATTTTATGACAAAATTTAACAGCATTCTACTACATCTTAAACGCTATTGTTGCAACCAGTCCTAAAAAATAATGATACAAAATCAGTACCGTACTTTAAATTGGTAAAAAATTGAAAATCTTCACTGGATTTAGACTTAATTACATTCTTGTCATTTAAACAGAGGTGCACCCGTTTTAGGTGGGAGCGTGGGCCTCGGGTGTTCCCAACTGTCGGAGTGGTGGATGCTGTCGCTGTCAGTTGGGGCGAACCGAGGCCGTGACCGGGCGTCACATGCACTGATAACTACACTGTGACATTGTCCATACGAAGAGGCACTAGCCCTATTACGCGTCGTCTTCTTCCTCTTCGTCTATTAACTCCTCTTCAACTTCTTCGTCTGGAACAAAACGAGTTCACATTACTTAAGATAAATCAACGTACCGCATGACAGTTATGCGGCATTAAACTAGTATGCAATTTAATAATAAAGAATGAGAAAGCTAGTGGGGTGGCCGTTTACGTACATAAAGGGACGCGCGGTGTGCGTGTAACTTAAGACTGTAATAGGGGATAAGTCTAGACGAATCGCGAACTTTGTGGGTTTCGTTGCGATTACAAAAAAAAAAAACCAAAAACATTAGTGTAGTAACCGTAATTACACAGGGGAAATGCTATAATGGAATTTCGTAAGTTAATTTTCTCAAAGAGTAACTCGTGGACACATATAGCGCACCTATATCGTCGTCCTCTTCGTCTTCCACTCCCTCTTCTCCTTCCACTTCCTCGTCGTCGTCTTCACCCTCTTCCCCTTCCTCCCCCTCCAAACCCTCTTCATCTAAATCTTCTTCATCGCTATGGGCCTCGACTTCGCCGCCGCCCCCATTTTCTTCCTTTCGCGCCTTTTTCGCTTCTGTCACCTTCTCCTGCACAATAAAAAAAATATTATTCAAATTTTCAATCTTCAATATATACATGTATACACTGGCTTTCGGCCAAAGTTTAATGAAAATGATGCTATTTCACAAATACAAAATTATGCGTTCACCTTACGTGCAAGAGAACATAGGTGAAAAGGTAACAATAGTTACGTGGATATGAGTATTGTCAATTGGAAAACATTCGCAGAGGTGTTTTGTGAACGAATATGCCGGCTTTCGTGAAAGGTAATAAGCGCCAAGCGCAGGTGATAGATTCATTCAACGTGCAATGGGCGAGATAAGCGCGCGGCTTTAGTGTCCGAAGGCCTATTTTCCCGTGACAACTTAAACGGAAGACACCGACCAGGCACCTAACGCATGAACTGTGACGTTCCACGTATAAACCGCCAAAACGAACACGCTCGCAAGATTTAAAACATACAATTTTGTAACTCTTAATTCAATACGCTTAAGGAATGTAAGCCCGAATCTAGGTTACACCGAAGACGACGCGTATTGATTAGATAAAAATAATGTCAGCAACATAATAGACAACCGACAAGCTGTGCTTTATAGATTTAGTTATATTGTGAAACAAAGGAAGTGCGAATTACTAAACACCTACATGCAAATAAGCCGGGTCAACGACTATCTACTCAAAAATCTATAAAAATGTATGAAAAAAAAGAACGCAAAATTGTATAGAGCTCGGTGAGAGCTGTTATTCTCATTCATAAAAAGTATTAGGTTGCGTTAAAATGCACATTTTACTGGTTTCAACTATGACAGTCGGCATCTACAATGACATTCACGCGCCGGCCATGTTTCTACACAGATAGCGTCACGCTTCGAGGTATCAAGCCAGCTTATGTCGAGTAAACGATACAAAAATAGCATATCGTGGGCAATATAATCAATAACAACTACAGAGCTTATTCCAAATTTTCGTAGAATAACCTGAAAAGCGTTGGTATATTAACGAGGACATAGGAGTAAGTTTCTCGCGCCATGTTTTTTTTCAGCCAAGGTCATGCCTCCGAATCAAAAACGAGTAAACAAAACTAAAATTGCTGAAAAACGTGGTCCTCGATACGGCCAGTATAAGTAAATAAAAATGAGGAAACGTATTAACTCATATAGGATCACATGCCACACAAATTTGATTCCGAAAGAAGCCGGTAGTACTGGAGGCATGTTTGAGCGGCAAAACGCGTCGACAATTAATTACGCGTAAATTGCATTCGAATGATAGTTGCATCGAAAATCATAGAGAGGTTAACCTATATTTCAGTGTTCAATAAAATGGCGAGCTTCTAAAATGAATACAGTGTCTGACATGTGCACTTACCTCTGCTGCCCTTTTGGCTCCTTTCAGGTCACTTTTAGCGTCTGCTGACTTCTCATCGCCGACCTTGTCCACGGCCACTTCACTGTTTTTATCATTGGCGCTCATGATTGTTCTGATTTTTAAATTAATTACTAAAGTTGAAACGTTTTTAGTTATATGGTGGCTCGAAAGCGACGCGCGACTGACTGATCGTGTGGGGTGAACGGGCGAGACGAGACGAATAGACGTGTTTGAAATCGAAGATGGCGCGGGCTTCCACACGCCTCGCACCTGATTGGCCGAAACTTGCAGCCATTGGAAAATTGAAAGTAGCATGTGGACTACAACTATAAAAACAATATAAAGCATCTGTAATTAAATGATAAACGCTTTAATTTTCTACCGATAAAATTGCGCTGATTTTATTAACGTTACTGAGAATAATCATTTCTTATATATCGAATTGTGTTTTGTTTTAAATGATACTAAAATGTTTATGTTAGTTCCAACTTTTCCCGCTACGAGGCGACTTTGTGTTATTTAGGACGTCATTCATAAGTCAAGCGAAAACCGCGGGAAAACGAAATTTGTTATTTATGTGTAGTATTGAAGTTTGATCAGGGATGTATTTACTTAAAAATCAGAAATCAGATGTATATTTCTATAAAAAAAGTAAACGTCATATAATCAGAAAATCGACAATAATTTCCAATAAAATATAAAAGAAACGCTTTTTTAATCGATTTCACGTATAAAGACTAAACAATAAAATATATTTTTTGCATGAAGATACACAATTACACAATTATCTATTAATTACCTATTGTAATAATTTGTGATGATTTAGGCATTACCAAACATTGAATTGCAAACGTTTATATGTGATAGAAGTATGTCATAGTAATTATATTAATTATGATTGATAAAAATTGTTGTATTGTAGACACATAATTTCCAATTATTATGTGTCTTAATAACATGTCTTGTGCTGTTTATATGGAAACTTTTTTGTTTTTGGATTTTGTTGGCTGACATTTTGTTGAAAAAAAAATCCAAACAAGTCTATACCATATTTTTAATATTAAGCATGTTATTATTACATATATTGTACATAACAATTTAAGTTTGCATATCGTATACTAGCTTATTTTTACGTAAATTACTAAGTATGTATATGAAGGTAATAAATTACAACTACAAAATATCTAACAAAAATCTAAAAAGAACTTGTTATTACAATTAGGTTATAGTTAAAGGCAATAAATATGTTATAATTAGAATGAAGAGAGTTATTAGACATCTATTATTACATTTTTCTTTTAAAAACTTAATTGTTTTTAATTCTAATTATAGTTGGTTTACTTAGTCTCGGTTTACAAGTCTTGGACTAGGTAAGTATAAAGTCTTTGACATTTTTTTTTCATTAAGACCCAAAAAGAAAAGATAAATACATTTAATATATGACACGTTTATTACTATTTAACAGATGACTTGTTCAACATTTTTTGATATCATAAAAAATGACAAGACATTTTGAAAAAACTTTTTACATATACCACAGATTAGCTTAAGAAAGTTGACAGAATTCGACTATTTTTAGTCTATTTTTGTATAACAGAATAAGCACCAATGGCTAACATAAAAATAATTCACAAGCAAAACTAGTAATTAAAATTTACAACTATCACTAGCATAACACAAATGTATTTTAAACATTTACAATAACGTTTTACATGAGCTTCTCTAAAGTATTACTAGTAATTACCAAGATTACCTTTTAAAATTTTAATACGACAACATTAACCGAGTTTCCTGAAGTTAAATTGTAATATGTTATTATAATGTACTTACTCCTCAATAAATATTTATTTGGAACAAAAATATAAATCATTGATGTTATATGAATGTTTTGGTTTTTAAGATGGCGCGTTGATTGTTAGAAAATTACTTATTCTATGCCCCTGATAATCACTGTTGTATTCAATTGCTCCTATAACTGTCACTGCAATATTATATGGTGAAAAAACTTATTTTTTTTGAAATCAGTGGATTTTTGAGTCCATTTTAGGCCTGGAAGTCACAGCGTTCACTGTCCTTAGCAGATACGTAGGGCCTTGTATATGGTGCAGCTATTTAATAGTAATTGGCGTTGCCCATTCCCAGTCCGAGTAGAGTGAACCGCGAATGCCTGAACATCTGCTAGAAGGTGGTGCACGCGTTCCCATCGAAGTCGACGTTGGCGCCGAAGGGCGGAGCCTCGTCCGAGTCAGCGAGGGTGCCGCGCCATGCGCTGTACAGGGTCGGCAGAAAGTCCGTGAACATTGAGCGGGTGTCAGTGATAGCGTTCGCACGCACCACCTGAAATTATCGTCATCTTAAATAACTACCTGAGGAATTTGGGCCTCTTATCATGATATTGGCCCAATGCGAGTTGTTAGGTAAAAATAATTATAATGTAACAAAAATATATATACATAAAGATTATAGTTTTTTTTTTAAATACGACATGAGCAACAGCACGGAACGTGAAGTTCAAGTCCTGCCCGTGTCCTATTTTTTTTTCAGTCTATAATAATTTTTTAATTTATATAGTGCCATCAAGTGAAAAATTTAAAGTTTTAAAAATAATAAAACAATAAATTCCTATTTCAATTCTGGCCTGGACTGATTTACATATTTTGCATAGTTAAGCGAATGCATACCTTTTCCATCATTTTAAAGTCGGGCTCCGAATGCTTTTGTGGCATCCAAAGCTTTACGTCTTTATCCAGACCACTGGATGCAATGATGGGGAACCTTGGGTGAGCTTCTATACAATTCACCTAAGGAAAAGGTTTGGGACATTAATTTGACTATTTTTAAATTTACTATATATAAATCTTAACTAAATAATCCCTTGTGGACAGAATTCTTATTAAATATAATCACCCATAGGTGTACTAACACCTATGGGCGTGAAACGACAGAAATAAGACACAAAAAGAAAAGTGGCACTAGATGGTGCATTCGCGCATTGCTAACATATTATATAAGAAAAGTTTTTTTATTAACTCAGACAGCAAGTTATTGATGAGCCTTCTATCCATTTCCCGAGAAAAATAAAATATTTGCGAGCAAATTAAAAAAATGTGCTAAAATTGAATCTGTAATTATGATTCCAAATCTGTATTCCCAGAACGTTTTAACCTGTTAAAGCGTTTTATTTAAATGTGTACAACTCGCGTAAACTATAGACAGTATTTAAAAATCACCCACCACGCCATTCTTGTCGCCCTCCATCATCTGAACTAGGGCTTCGGAGTGCTTCTCCCATATGAATATGTGTGAACAGTCAGACCCCGAGACTACAAACTGGCTCTGAGGACCGAAGAAGGAGACGCCCTTGAATGTAGCGCTGTTACGGTGGCCGCTGTACTTGTGAGTGTATGTTTGTTTATTGAGATCCGCCGTATCCCTGAAACCAATTGCATTAAAGATTAATAAGCTAATAATAATAAAAGTTTAACCAGATTATAATATATAGTAAATGTACAAAAAGGTTAAGCAAGAGTTGTCACATTTGTTGCATATACTTTACGCAAGTAGTACACATTTAAATAAAACACTTTAACGGTTTAAAACGCGATATATTAGTTAAACTTATTTACCTTATATATACCTATTATACCCCAACCATATGTGGTGAAATAGGTATACATACCAACAAGATACACTGTCGAAGTAGTTAAAAGATTATTAATCCACCTTCCAACATGATCAACAAAAGCAAATAACAAATATTATAGCGTTATATATAGCATAAGTTCTAATTATTATCAAAAAGTTTTTTATCCTGACACATCGATTCATACAAAAAAACATTTCATTTAAATCTGTTTCAGTTATTACAAATTAACTTACTTATCATATACATCCAGCTTAGTATCAAATAGATAGATATCCTCATCGTTATAAGAGCCCAGTATCTCGGATCCATCGTGGTTGTAGACGGCACAAGTCAAGTGGAGCATTGATTTGTATGCCACATGGTCTGGCTAAAAATATAAATAAGTAGATTTTAATTTAAGTTATAGAGAGCACTTATTACAGTAGCTATAAGATCTCACAGATCATACCCATATAGGAAAATATGAATGTTTAGGTCTGGGCTACTCTGTGTTATATTATTGTTTACTTAAAGAACATTTGCACTAAATTATGAATATTTTGAAGTGTAAAACAAGCCAATCTAAGACGCTACTTAATGTGGTTATTTTAGCTTTCCTCTAGATTTAGAGCTATCAATATTATTTATATTGTTAGGAGGACCACAATTTAATATAGATTTCTTACTCTAATTAGTTTGTATTTCGAGTCTTGTAATTTATTTATTATTAGTTTATAAGACATGTTAAAAAAAGCCGGACTGAGTTTCTTGGGTGTTCTTCTCAGTTCTGTTGCTCTTTTGGCCACTCTGTCTGGCAGAATAACGACAAACAGACAGACAAACAAAAAAAAATTGACGATTCTAAATAATATTTAAAATTAAAAAAAAAAGTATATTTTATTATTTTCTATTGAGGACACGGACGGCCGGGTGATCAGTCCACGCCATTTCCCCATTCCCCTGTATAGTCCATTTCACACTTATAATATGTAACGGAAGACACGAGATTTGGGTCTTTACTTTTACCGATTTGTCGAAATTGGCTGTGTACATGTTGAGTGGTTTATCCGGTTTCCTGGTATCGTAGACTCTCACGAACATGTCCCTCCCAGCCACTAGCAGCTCGTGCGGGATCAGCGGGTGCCCGGCTACGCTGTACAGCGGTACCAGGTGCGTGCCCCGTACAGTCAAGAGCCTAAAAAGCGAAAAAACAGAATACAATTACTTATTTTTGTATAATGACAAAGGAGTACAGATGAGCATGGGGTACACTCGATGAGAGATGAATTACCCCAGCCATATACCATCTAAGCGAGATGCGCTTTTAAAAATTAGAAACGTTGGATCCGGTACGGATCGAATCCACGACCCGTTGATTATTAGCCAGCTACCATTATATACCAATGAGCACGTCAAAATGTTATGTTATATGAATATATTATATATATACACTTTTAAAGGTTAACAACGCGAAACCTATTATTTAACTAGCAGTGATCACGAGGAGACAGAAGATGGAGGATATCCCTAATCGAAGTCAAACGCGCGTTTTAAACTGTTAAAACTGGTGTAATTATACACATGAAGCTAATGATTAGTTTTAAACAAAAAAATCCACTTAAGTCACAAACAAAAAATATTTGTGACTTAAGTAACCCGACATTTATACTGACTTTGAGGCTGCTTCGACGCGGACATCGCACCGCATCACGACAGCGTCCTCCCCGGCAGATATGACAAGATGTGGCTCGTGGGCTGACACGTGGACCTTGTGGGCCGCGCGGCTGTGAGTGGCCAGCTTGCGCCGGGAAGCACCTCCGCCACCACTCGCCGGGCATTGGATCAGACGGACCTGGAATTCAAATTATGATGTTATCCTTTAATATTTTTTTTCCTTTTTTCTTTAAGCTTTATTGTAGCGAGCACATCACTATAACTAAGCTTTGAAGATGTTATAGAGGACTGAAAAGAAATATTATTTACACCATATTTATTATGCAATAATATTAAAATTAGTTTGTTTGCTTATGCTTATCTAGAACATATAAATCTTCATATACAATAACGTTTTTGAGGTGAGTAATGATGTACATTTAAAATTGAAAAAAAATATTAAAATTACAGTAAAGTAACAAAATCATGTAAAGTTTACAAAGTTATCACGTGAAAAGTAATAATTGAAACACATTTAACTATTTCAAACGCGAACCAAAACATCGTGTCGTACTTAAAATAAAAAAAGTATAATTCAAATAAATACTCGCGTTTTAAACGATTACAAGTCTTTTACTTAATTATGTAAACTCAAATTACTTAAAATATTTTTAAGGGCTCTAGTAAAAACTTAACATGGGCCTATCGTAGTGTAGATGGTTAGAATATATACCAAAACAGATTGTAGTGGGCTTTATGGCTTGTCTTGCTAACTTATATTACCTGTCCATCTCTCGCGCACGTCACAATATTCAGCTGCGTCTGAGCATTCAAATACAGGAACTTGCTTTGGAACACATTGGACTTGTGACCAGTTTTTATAGTCTGCAGGGGGATATTCCTTGCCCAATCCCAAACTACGACGTTTGTGTCATCTGACCCAGAGGCTAGTAAGTGGCCTGTCAAAAAGTGTGAGTTATATGAACTGTGTAAAATGTTTAGGCCCTTTCCCACATTGTATCAGATAAATTAAAATGTCCATAGATTCATGATATTTGAATAAAAGGCTAATCATCTTTACTTAAATACTTTCCATTTGTAACATTAAAAAGCTTGGTATTCCATAGCTTTCCTCTCAAATAACATATACCAACGTAACTTTTAGTATTATATTATAAGAAAAATTAAACAAATATAGACAATAAAAAAAATTGGAGATTTATTACCTTCGGGATGAAAATTAATAGAATTAACACAGCCTTTATGCTTTGCTAGAAAGTTGAATTTGCTCATTCTGTACACAGCATGTAGTGATCCATAGAACTTTTTCTCAAAAGTCACATTCTCTTGGTTAGCTTTCCCCCTCGGAAATGTCAGACCCATCTCACGATTGATTACCTCTGCAAATTGCAATATTAAAATTTCATTAGAAGAGGCCAAAAAGTTTAAGATAACATTGTTTCATTATCAACACATCAGCTAAATTTATTATTAAAGTCAGAGAAAGAGGACAGACAAGCACTAAAGGGCCATATAACAACTTTACAAGATATGCTATCTATATTGTGGTTTTGGACATTTAAAATTCAAAAGACAAACCCACAAGGGTTTTTTTGCAGCATTTAGTTGCTAATGAGTGTTCATACCTCTCAATATCAAGTAATCATGCTTTGGTCTTGTCTTTAGGAGGACTGATGGTCTTCTAGTAGGTCCTCTTTTCGGCCTGGTCCTGGTTGAATTTTGATCAAACTCATTCCATAATGTTTCATCAGAGTCTGTGTCATCATCGCTTACGAGTGTGAGGGGATGATCATCGCTGTAAATTTCATTGCTACCCTCTGCCGAATTGCTTATGGAACTTCTGTAAAATAGGGAGAAAATGCTTTCAACTAACTACCAACTTAATTTAATTAGAAAAAAAAAATTATCTACTATAACCAACACATTAAAACTATAGAAGTAAACATTTAATGCTCTGGTAAACTAATTCAAAACCTGAAAACATTTGTAATCTGCATGTAGTTTTTCTGTCAAAATTATGTGTTGGTGGTTTTTTTTCAAAACAAAAGAGGCAACAGCTGACACAACAAAAAGCATAATTCTTTTTTCTTGTCTGTAACTCTTAAAATTTGCCAATAAGCAAAGCAAGACAGAGTTCATATAATTTTTTTATCTGCAAAGCATCAATCCTTTCATAAAAATCAGACTTTAACACAGCAATAAAAGGATATATAATACATATTTCTTTCTTTGTACAATTAAAGATATTGCTTCAGAACTTTAAATTCTCGGGTAATAATTACAGCTCTTTATTTATGAATCTTGTGTAATATTACACAACTTATTCTGAATAAATATACAAGAATCACTTTTCCTAATCAATAAATGTGGCCCTGTTCTTTTATTACATATAAAGTGGTGCTGGGCCCACAGATCTTGAAGTAGAGACAGTTATGGAATTTAGCACTCTGCTCCAGTGTGGGTTGGTAGTTTTCACATGAAATGATATCAAATAATTAAGCAAAGATAACAAGGAGTCAACTTATTCTCTTCGGCACAATACACAACATGCTCTAGTAAATACTATAGTTATTATAAATAAAACTTACATGCTAGAGCTTGAATTATGAGATGAATCACCACTATCATAGAATGTGTTGATTAGCTGTATATTATCTGCTTCTTCATCATGAGATAGATCATCAGAATCCCTGGATGAACTCTCATCTGAGTCATTATTCGGTGTTTTACGCTTCCTATAGATTCGGCTATGTCTCGGGCGCCGTAGATTGACGAGAATAGTGCGCACATTATTTGAACTAGATGTTGCTATATTAACGACTTCATTAGTTGGCTCAGCGTTTGATGTTGTGCCTCGGTCTTCACTGCTTGTGCTTTCCGACTTATCAGCAGACACGCCACTGTCTACATTCTCTTCTTTAACGTCCTTACTCCCAGATGCTATTCATATGGAGACATTAGTATGGAAACAAATAAAAAAAAATACGGTTTAATGCGACATTGATCACTTACCACCTTCGTTGAGGCTGTCTTGTGAGCTACCATCATTTAATTTCAATTTTTTGCCACACAACTTAGGGCTCATTGGCTCATCTTTTATTTCTTCGTCACTCTGGGAATTATCTTCCATTTTTGCTCAGCTACGTCGCTAACTTTATTGTTATAAGAAAGTAAAACAACAGAGCACAATTAAACTAGTTTCATCAATATAAGAATCGATTTAAAAGCTGATAAATATTTTTTACAACTATTAAACAATACCCACAAAATATTTAATTCACTATATTTTGACACGGAAAATTTCTGAATTAAGAAAAATAGAAAAAATTATGATTAGTGACATCTTCATCACAGTTTCGAACAAGAAAACTTGTTAAAGTCCACAGAACTATTTCAGTATAATCTAGTTGATACATAGATTAAATTACTTAATTGCGGTTATGTCTGTGTCACTTCACTGTCACATTTTGTTAATTGTTTTGGTATTTGAATTTGAATTCGTCAAACATGTGCGTTTTGTATTTACTAAATTAAATAATTTATTTTATTATGTATGCACAACGAGCGATGATATAACAATAAGCAAATTATTCATCATTTAAAACGTAGCAAGGTTCTAGAAGTGTGTATATAAATAGCAAATAAATAACAAAGTTATTACGATGAAGGAAGACGACTTGTTATTATTTTTAGACTTATTAGATCTTGATGAAGAACTGGTCAACTATCGTCTCCAGACTATTATGAGCCGGAAAAGCTTTACAATACAACATTTAACTAACGCAAGCCACTTGCTTAATTACAAATATCTAGTAAACATAAAGGAAAGTGATGAATGCGAAAATGATTTAGAATTTGAATTTATTGGCAAATTAATTGAAAATCTAGATGAGAAGCATATTGATACCATTTGCAACATAGTAAGTGTTATTTTATGTTTAAACCCGAGTTCAATACTAGTAAAATCTGAACATCTTTTACAAGAACTTTTGAATATTCCTTTTACCAAAGAATATATCGACTGTGAGGAGAACCATTCTAAGCTATTGTCACACTTGAAGTTGTGTGATAGTGTAGTTGAAGCTGTTATAAAGGTTGGTGAGAAGTTATCATTGCCATTTCTCAGTGTGCCCTTACAAAATATTATTTTCAGTGCCAATGAGGGCTTAAAAAGACATTTTTTAACAAAAACTGTAAAGAAATTCTTTGATGGTGTCACTGCCTACAACATACTAGATAGAATATGGCATAGTATAACACAAGATGCTGATAAATTAGATTCTCTTAAAGTACTATCCGTCTTATCAAATTACTATCTGCCTCTACCTGACAAAGAAGGAATAGTGTTATTTCAATCGAGTGTAATTAGTCAGAGGGAATTTTGGGAAATTTGTTATTTTGGTTTAATTTCAAATGACCCAGTAATTAGAAAACTAGCTATTTATCTGCTGAAGAGGACAATAGATTGTTTAATGATTTCCAACTTAGATATTGATATCTCAACACCAATAGTAACAATGAAATGGGTGCCTTCTGTTAGGGGCGATATGAAAAAAAGCTGGGACAACTATTTCATTTTAATTGATAGTTTGGAAGAAAAACAGAGTAATATAGTATTACCGTCTTTGCATTTATTTACTGTTGTTCAATTGCTTGGGAAGTGCTGGCTAAATTGTGCTTATAATATAGGACTTCAACATGACAATTTAGAAGTCAAAACTACTTGCATTAAGCATAGACTAAGTCTTGAAATATCAAATGATATAGAGGCCAATATTTTGTTGGATTCCCTAAACGATATGAATATTTTTGATAACCAAACTGACTGTGATATAGTAAAAGAAAAGTTTACAAAGAATATTATAGATGAACAATCATTTATGATGGTCATAAGGAATATAACAAAAACAAAATGGTCACCTGTACCACTGTACCACTTGAGTGATATTTTAGCAAAAAGAAACCATGGGAGACTGCCAGAAGTCATATTTGAATACCTGTATGAGTTAATTAAAGTGCCATGTAATAATGTTGTTATAAGACGGGCATTTTATCAAAACCTTTTTTATATAATTGGTAATTCTTGTGAAAGCCTATCTTGGAAGAGAATCTTGAATTTGTTTAATTTGATCACTACAAATTATTTGGTAGATAAAAAGATATTAGATGAATTGTCAGACATAGAATTAGGAAAAAAGGGAGATTCTTATAGACATTTATTTGATGTAATAAAAAATTTAAGTGTACATGATAAAAGGTCAGTTTTAGAGGAATTAACAAAGTCACACTTAAATATTGACTTTACTATTGTATATTTAATGGGACATGAGGACGAAGTATCGTCTTTTATAGCATTACTTGAAAGTATGTTCAACAATATAAAAAGTACTGATGCCACTATGGCATTTGATGTCATACAAGATGCAATATTTTTGTCAAGCCTACTCAATAAAGTCCACGGCAGTAAGCTAGCATCAATTAATATCCTACTTAATAAAAGAAGGCACATTCTACTTGACTATATAGATATTTTACTAAACACTGACATCAATTATAATACATTAGATAATGTTATACTGTTACTAGAAAATTTAGTACACACATACAACTTACAAAGTTGTCCAGAAAAACATAATAATTTATACCGCAGCTCAATAGCATTACTGAGAGATGGTTATAATATAAGCAAGAATATTTTTTGTGTATATTTATTGAATATCATGTGTTATCAAAATACCAGTGAGATGGAAGTAGATATCCAAGATTTGATTAAAATATTTAATAATGTAAATAAATTGAATTCAAAAGAAGGCAATGGAAAACTGAGAAATTTGTTCAATTCCAAAGCTTGCGAGGTGATTTATTCTTTACTGCAGAGGGACGACCGAGACAGTTCATACTGTATATTTGATTATATAGAAAATTCGTTAGAATCGGGAGATTGTTTAAGATTTATATTACAGATAGCAAATATAATTCTTCCTAAGATTTTAGAAACAGATAAATTTAATATCACCAATTTCTTTCAATGTGTTTGGAATGAACTGGAAGCAAAGAAGACACATAGGGAATATTCAGAATGTATGGAGGGTTTTATTCAATTAATAACGAAAGAGGCTGTACTTAAAGTACCAAAATATAATAATGAAGTGATATTTTACTGCAGTAAGATCATAGAATTCTCTATGGTGAAGATAATGCCTTTATTCCACTTAGTGGATGCGATGGGTAGAGATAATGTACTGCATTATGGACATCTTGTTTATGTTTTTAGCGAAATTTTATTAGTTGTTGCTGTGCCTAGAAAGGACAATAGGTAATTAGTTGTTTATGTATATGTGTGAAATTCTTTGGGGTGTAAAGCAAACATAATTTTGAGTATGTTTCAATTATTTACAAGTTATGAAGTTGGCATATACCAAAGTAGTTGACCAGCCACTGACTGAAAAATTCGTTTCCCAGGATTTGAATTCAGGATATTTAGTGTCTAATTACTAATACAATGCTAGACAACATTTTTGATCATGAAGATATGGGGGAGGTCATGTTTTCTTTAAATGCATTATAATCATTTATTATATGTTCATTTACAGGATTACGGAAAATTTAATTGTTGACATATCAAAAGAGAGCAAGTTTACAAACAATAAGTAAGTATTTGTTAAGTACAGATTTCAGTAACATATGGTCAGACTTATGATCTACCTTAATGTCTAATGAGTTATCGAGCTTCATAAAATAAAACAATTGCTGTACAATCCCTTTAGTAGTTCCTAATGCTGGAATGTATAATAACTTGGACAATTCTAATCATTTCTTTTCTTCCCTTCTACTTTTTCAGAAAATCTGTGTACACAACTTTTCATACCGAGTATAGATCTTTAGAAATCCTCGCTACTATAAAGGACGTAAAAATATTAGAGGCAACCGCGTCTTTAATTACGAAAAAAATTGACGATCAATTCAAGAACAAACAGAGATATCACAGAAATTCCACACTACATAGGATGTTGCATGTGGCGTTGCAACACTTGTTGTTTATTTTCCTGAAACATAGAAATAGTTATGTAGAGGATGTCTTCGAATGGTGCTTTAGTTTCCTGATCAGAATTCCTCACCAGACCTCGACGAAATTGTATTTGGAATGGTATATTACGCTGTATTTTTATTTCAAGGTAAAAATATAAATTAGTAAATAAATTATACATAATTCATTCTTGCAGACACAAAGAAATATTAGATTATATCAATTTTAATAATCTTTGTCAAATATGTATAAAATAGAAAATAGAAGACCCGCCACCCAATCATAAAGGCTGCCGTTACCGCCTCAGCTGACATTGTTTTTTCCGGAATCGAACCGAAGACTTCCCGCACCTAACCAAATTAAAAACATATATTTAATTATAGATACATGTTACAAAAGTTTATTTTACTTTATGATTGTTCTCATGTACACTACATTTGTCTTACTGACTCTAGAGAAAAATCATTTTTACGTTTGAAGAAATCATTGAGATGGTTTTGTTTACGGAACCTAATTTTTTACCTTATTGTTTCAGGGATTCCTTATAACGGATGTCTTAAATCTTCTTACTACTAATAAAGTCCCTATTCTATCTCAGTTTATGATACTATATTGGCTCCTCAAACGTCGAGCCCTAAGAAACAGCCTCGAGGAAACCGAATTTAAAATAGTTTTGGATTATTTTCTGGAAAATACAATGGGCCCGACATACAGCGTGCGTTTGTATGCCCAATATCTTGTAACGAGGTTGCATTTGCTTGTTGAAAAATCGAAAACATTTAATCTAATTGGATACGAGCAAGCGATTAATGTGGTGAAGAAAACTCTCACCGAGGCATCCAAATTGAAGGAGAAAAGCTATGAGAAGTTACTGAATGATTATTTCGTTCACGATTTTGACATAGTGAACGATTTGACTCCTTGTTCCATATATTACAGTTCGCACGATGAACGAACGAACGAACATATAGACGAAAATGTAGCTCTGCAGACATTCGTAGGTAAATAAATATCTTTATTATCCATACTAATATTATAAAGCTGAATAATTTGTTTCATTGTTTTAAACGCCTTAACTCAGGAACTACTAGTTCGAATTAATCAATATTTTTGTTATGTGGTGAATAGATGATTTATTGAGGAGGGTTTTAGGCTATTTAACATACCGTTGCAGCCCTAGAAGCAAAGCACCAGTGGCAAATTGGGAAAAACTGTCTTTGAGGGATTCCGTTGCGTCTTCTGCGAAAACGGTTTTAGACACCAAGAAATGTGCATGAAAGAATGATTCCTCCTTAAATAATAAAAAAAAATGTCCGTGACAAAAACCGCATATACAATACCTATTAAATATCAATGCCTATCTATAATATTAATCTTACAAATAACGTTTGTCGTATAATATGCTAGATTGATTATAATTTCAACCGACCACCCAAAAAAAATATTATAAATTTTTGTGAGTCATGTTTTAAACTTTTTATTAATAGCTAACAGATGCCGTAGACTAGACGTATATATCGAGCTATATAAAATAGCTAAATCATGTAATTATTGTTTCAGGCATGCAACAATTAGACGATGGAGACGAAGATTCCTTATATCAAGAATGGAGTCAATTTAACAAGAATCGTAAAATAAGCCTAAGAAAGTTTATCACAGTTTTGAAAGAGGCGAAAGAAGTTGAGCTGACGAGTGGCATAATTCAAAAGAAGTACATACCTTGGAAGAGTATGAGCGATATCGATATTGTTGATATGAAGAAAATGGTTAGTTTTACTACAGGTATCTCAATGGTTAAACATTCGGTTCGGTGTTCGAAAAGTCCTGGGTTCACATCTTGGGGAAACGATAAACGGCTTATGATCTGATTAATCGCGTTGAAACAGACACAGAACTTTGTTCGCCCCGCAGTGGGCATATACTTACATATACATAACACGTTTTATAAAAAATAGGTTTTAGTCTATTTCCACTCATTTAGATGTTGTAGAAATAAAAACAAGTATTGTCTGTAGTATACACAAGTAGCACACATTTAAATAAAACACCTTCAACGGTTTGAATCGCGAAATATATTAGTTAACTAATTTTTAATTTAATTTAACTACAACCCAATGATACAGCTAATTTACTACGGCATTATTCAGGGGTGCCATAGTAAAATTAAATTACAAAAGGAGTAACTATTGTATTTTGCGTTCTAAATCGTTGAAAGTGTTTTATTTAAGAAAAAAAACGGTATTTTTTATTAAGGCTTAATGTACCTACATACATATTTATTCTCCTTAATTATATAAATTGATGACAAAGTTTTTTTAAGAAGGTTTTCGTTATTAATTTAGTTCTGTGCTTCTAGGAAAATAAAACCGAGCTGATCGTAGTGGCGTCGTTGATAGACAAGTTGCCGAACCTGGGTGGCATGGCGCGGACTAGCGAGGTATTTGCCGTCAACACATACGTCATAGACAGCTTAAGGCATCTGCAGGATAAACAGTTCCAGGGCCTGAGGTAATTGCATAAATCCTATGTAGAATAGGTATGTGTGTGATGGCATGAGTGACTTATTAAGACGTTTATTGCACCATCTAGCAGCCGTCCCTGAGACTTAAAGATTTCATAGACGTCACAAGAATTAATGTTATATACATACATACATACATACATACCATTATACCAGCATTAAAGGTTTCCACTCAGTTCGAAATATGTATGAACATATGTAAACCCTGTATCTCTATACTAATAATTCTGGAATGCAATTAGACCCGGGTTTGACATGTGGTATTACAACTAGTATTGTGAAGCATTAAAATTTTGGGTTTTATAGCCTGTTACTGTCTTGGATTTTTTTTTTGTTATATAAGTGGCCTATAAACTGCTAAATGCTTATCATTGCAGCGTATCAGCAGAAAGGTGGGTTAACGTCGTCGAAGTTCGACCAGGCCAACCGCTGAAGGATTACCTCTCGCAGAAGAAGACGGAAGGATACGCCATCGTGGCGGCCGAACAGACTTCGAATAGCATCAGTCTTCAAGGCTTTAAGTTTCCTAAGAAAACTCTCCTTTTGTTGGGGTAATTCTTGTTATAATATTTTTTAATAGAGCAGATATTGATGTTAAAACTTAGGTCACGTTCGACTTCAGATCCTAAGGTCCAGGGTACAAAATCGGTATGGACAAAGTGTTTATTTGGTCTTTTTTTTAATAAAATTTCTATTTAATTTAAAAATCGAAAATAAATTGAAAAAATTTTCGACTCGGGCAGGACTTGAACCGGCATCGTCAGCTTTCCGTGCTGTTGCTCTAACCAATTGAGCTACCGAGTCCCGTCCTGTACCGAAAATATTAATGTTTAAAAAAATTCTATTACCAATTGACGTTTCTCATTAATATGATTTAGTGACGGTAATTGAGAAAGCATGTCCCGTTTGGGCTCTAGGCATGAATAGAAAGGTCTTATACTATGGTCTTACGTTTGTAGTATGTTATGTATGAATCAACAGGGTGCGGATTGGTTGGTGCCAACATGTTTGTAATCAATTTATATTTTTTCTAAAACATGTTAGACTGCTTCTGGAAATGTGGCTTCTGCATCCTTCCCCAAGGAGGCTCGTAGCCACATTGTCTAAATGTTATATAGTTTCTAATTACAAAAGGCCAACCATAAAGTCATTCCTCGTGTAGTATATTTTTTATTTTGGTTTCAGAAATGAAAAAGAGGGTATACCATGCGATCTTCTACCGTACATGGACGTGTGTGTGGAAGTCCCTCAACGCGGAGTTCTACGGTCATTAAACGTACACGTTACAGCCGCCATTTTCATTTGGGAATACAGCAGACAACATAGTTAGATTTTATTATTCGTTTGACTACTGACTATTGTGTTGGTATTTAAGTGATTACTTCTATTTTGTTTATTAAAATTAGATTAAAGTTTAAATGCCTGTAATTTTTTAACAGGCTGGTTTTAAGTGTTGTATGTTACATATACATATAATAAACATACGTTATTTAACAGAATATATGTATTTAGATTATAATGTGTTAGATTTAACTACATATAATCAAATAATTATTAACTTTAACAAGTGTGTTAATCTAAAAGTTTAACTTACTTAAACGAAAAATTTCTTGTAAATAATTTAAATTTCAGAGCATATGTATGAAGTTAATTTTATAAATTTTTTAACGAATACAATCTATCAATTAATTAATGCAATAAACCGAGTATACATCAATAAATCAATGTAGGATTAAGCCTTATCATTTTTTAACTAGTTATTATTATATATATTATTTATTATATTAGTACTTTAGAGAGGAATAATAATATTAAAAAATATATATAATTATAACATTTAATTCTGCTCTGTTTTACAGAATAACTTAATAGTTTTTGGTAAAATGGTAACTTTCATAGGTTTCACATCAAACTCTTCCTTATCTATCTCAAACACTCCATCGGGTTTCGTGTTTTGCGGTTGTAACTCTATTGTCCGTGCTTGCAAAACTTCCTGAATGTTACCATCACCCTTTACCCTTCGCCAACCTTCGGAAACAAACTCCACATATGAGTATTTACTCCTCCCTAATTCTACGCATAAGGCCGGTAAATCCCCTACTTTGGGACTTATCCTTAGTTCAGTGGATTTGAAACACAATTCATTTGTCAAGACACATTCTTCATTGATAAGTTTAGTTCGGTCTGACTCCGGAGCTGCCTGTGTACTTGGCATGAAGAAGGACCATTTCCTTTTTATTTCTGGTTTCTTACTCACACAATTACTACAGCCGGCACAAGGTGGTGTGTAACTCAGGACTCCATTGCATGTCCAAGTAATAGAATCCTTGTAGCCATTAAAAACGTAGGATGCATAGTCACGGAATGGCCCATAAAACCAATACTTGTCACGTTTTGCTTGTATATCTCTGAATGCACCCCAATCTATTGATGTCATTGCATATATGGGTCTGCTAGGAGGTTCTTCTTCAGAAGTAATGGGTTCAATTTTCATAGCATCTTTCCAAATTGTGTTCCCTTTCACTATTGCCATGCATGCATCAATGAGTTGTCGCACTTTCTCTACCCCCTTTCCACCAGGAAATAGTTCATTACCTAGGCTATTTGTTGTGCCAAGAGGCAGAACTCCGAGAGGGAATTGGTTTGCATCATCATTTCTTCTCAGCAAGCCTGTAAGTTTAAATAGATATTAATATACCCTGTAAATGGTAGTTATAATTTTCAACTAGATGAGTAGAGTGCAACTTACACTCAGTACCTTTGCTTTAATTGTGTCAAACTATAATTTGACGATGTGAAGTCAAGTATTGAGATATGACTGTAAAAAACATAAGTGAACATTGAGAGCCATTATTTACCTGTAACTGTTTCTGATAGAGTGCCATCTCCACCAGCAACTATAATAGCTTCAGTGCCTTTCAAATTCTCAACGATCTCTTTGGCATGACCCTCAGAGGTTGTCTGTATCACATCTACTTGTAAACCAGCTAAGTGTAGTATAGGCTCACAGTATTTCTCAAATTCCTTCTTAGCTTTTCGCCGATTGGCTACAGGGTTCATTATAACTGTTATTAGTGTGGGGTTCCTGTCAAAATCTATCATGGAATCTCCATATTTGACAGCTTCTTTGCATGCTGCACTCATTAATATGCTAATTCTGTAATATATGAAAAAAAAAGAATGAATATTTTTAATGAGTTATGACTTTTTTTTGCAAGACTTAAAGAATAATTAAAATAGACCTAAATAAACGTACTCATATTTTTCTTTTGCTGTAGCGCCACCATAATATAGAACAAACGCTCCGAAAACTGACTTTTTCCAGTTATTTCTCAAAGTTTTCGCAATCTTCGATAACCTTTCCATTCTTTATTTAGAAGATTTTACCTTAATAAATTCGCGTATTAATTCTTTCAATTACCAATTTAGCGCTTTTCTTGCATACTATTTATTTATAATTCTTTAAATTTTTTACTTTTGTTATTACGTGAAAATCATTAGGTTATTTACTATCAGCTGATTAAAAAAAAAATGAAGTAGAGATAGAAAAGCAAATGACATGTTGCATTTTGTCACATTGACAGAAGGCGATCAGTAATGTTACGGTTACTACTTACTACCGCTATTGTATTGAATGATTTGCTTTTTTATTTCTCAATTAACATTTACTTCGTTATTTTGTTATAATAGGTAATGAAATAACGAATAACATAATATTCACTAAAATTTTAATACGATTTATTGAAAGATATAAACGTTTTCTGTGATACTCTTTGTAATTCATCCTGTCCGTGAGTTTCATAATAATGTGTTAATTGTCAAGTGACAAATTACAAAAAGAAAATAAGAATATACTTACTTATTTTTCATTCGAAAATTATTAAATAATAATTTGTGTTTCCTTAGAACTTTGCTATGAGCTCAAAATCGGAAGAGGAAAAGTTACCAGATGGGTGGGTCTTATGTACCTCTAAATCAAATCCTGGAAGGAAATACTATTTTAATAAAAAGACGGGAAAGTCGTCATGGACACAACCACAGGTAAAATGCATTTTGTTATTGTAACACGACAAAATTGGTTTATTATTTTGCTTTATTCATATGGTTTTGATGCCTATGAAAGACCTTATTATTGTCGCTTGTCACATCGGTAGTGTGATTAATTTGATTCATTTTAGATAATTAAAACATAAAAATATTAGGCTACCTAAACATTATTAGTCAGTCCCATGCCATTTAAAGTAGGAAAACTGATAAATTTTGACTCTTGGCCTTCTCAGGAAACTGATAAAAACAAGAAACCTGGGTTTAAAGACAAACAAAAAGTTAATGAGAAGAAAAAATCTAACAATGAATCAAGAGGCAATAAAAGAAAGAGTGATAGCAATGAGGAAGTTGCATCTCATAAAAAACAAAGACAAGGTATTAATTAGTGGCACCAGTAGGTGAAAATTGCTATTAAAAATAATATTTTGGTTATATTGTACTTTCAGAGCCTTCAGGAAAGATTGAAGAAAACATTCAAAAGGATGAGTCACAAAAACAGGTTGTCCCATGTGTTGCGACTCCTAAAACACCTTCAAAATTAAGTAATACCAGAAATCAACCCTCAACCTCTCAACCATCAAAAAGAGGAAAGAAAAAGGGTGGAAAAAATCTGGCAAACACACGACTCTCACAGCTCCGGTCCAGGCTGTCTTATGAGGCTGAATGTGAAGATAATGTTCACAAGTCACCACCTAAAAAAAGAGCCTGTAATGAAACACCAAAAAAGTTTGAAAAGAGTCCAAACGACAAAATAAACCACTCACCAAGTCATGACAGCTTGCATTCCATTCCTTCACCTTCACAATTTTTTGCAGCCAACAAAATTTTATCATCCATGAAAGCACAGTTACCTGAACAGTATTGTAATAAAGACAAACAGATAGACACATTTGCCGATATTGAAAAAGGTATTTGCAATCAAACACCAGAATATCCATTTTCTAAGCATCCAGCAACACCTCCACAGTTTTTAGAAGCCACAAAACTGGTGTCTGCTATTAAGTCTAAACTGGGCTATAAAATAAATCTACCTTCAGAGTCAAAATCTTTCTCATCAGCCAAAGATAGAATGGAATCATTGAGAAATAGTTTAGGTTCAGAAGTGGGATCGAATACATCAAATGATAAAGAATCATTTTTTAATAGCTCAGAATTAAATAGTAGTGCCGTTTCCGAGGCCATGGAAGTTGAGGATTTTCGGGAGGTATGTGGTATTGTTCAATACATATTTCATGGTCCTAATTATAGAGAAGTATTATAAAAGTTTAACTTTTGATATAACCCAAAACATAATAATAGAAAAATGAATCTTCGCTTTTATTTCACCATTTTACCAACTCAGCAATAATACTTTCAAACTGAGAGCATGAAACAGATGGTTTTGCATTTGCAGATGTGTTAGGCATATAAAGCTTTTTTTTTATTTTCACTTTGTTCTTTTAACTTTTCAAAGAAATATTAACATACTCAATGTACAGTTTTAGAAAAAGAAAGCAATAACATCATACATGTTAGAATAATTAAAATAAAATTGACTTAGAGCTCCATTTTGTATTATTTCATTGAGCATATTTTATTTATGCTTGTTTTTAATTCCAGTTCAAACATAGCACACCAATAAAACCACAAAGGAGAAACTCTAGTGAAAATAATGTTGTGCTTGTTATAGACACAAATATATTTATACATGAGCTGGATATAATCAGGAATGTACTAAATTCACATTTAAAAGGTTAGTTAAATTTGAAAGAGATAAAATTTCAGTCTGTTTCACAAATTAATCTTATTCAATGCTCCTCATTTACAATAAACCCTTGAAGCAAAGTCAAAACTACCCTCCACAAATAAAAAGCTGTGTAAGTGTAAATCAGCATTTCGATTTTATCTTATTTACATGTTATATGACTGGCCTATTTCATCTTCAGGACAAACACTTGTTTGTCCTCCTCCATCAAAAAAGTTCAAATGTTATATGAACATACTTTATGATCTAGGATATAGTGAACAGCCCACTCTACTGGTACCGTGGCGGGTGATCAATGAACTAGATCGGCTCAAAGACAATAATAACGGGAATGGAGCCGTCTGCAAACGAGCGAAAGCGGCCATGGACTATCTATATAAGTCCCTGCCAGAAAACAGTAGGATAAAAGGTTTGTCTTATATACTTTTAAAAGAAACTACTTAACTTGAAACTACTACTATTTCGGTATCCAGGAACTCTCAACCATTAAGCCAGGAACCCATTTGTCTTGGATCAAAGCGGGCCGTTTTTAAAACTTACTGAACCATCACTTGTATTGTGAAAAGTTCTTAAGGCAAATTAAATTAAGTTAAGTGAATTTTACAGCTATTTAAATAATGTACATTTTTTTGATAGCAAATAAATACTATTAGCTTTCTTCTTTAGTGCTAGGCAAGACGTTGAACTACTTAGCTAGGTGATCATTTATAATCTACAAATGTGTATTTGTTCTTTCCAGGCCAGTCGTTACGGGATGCAAATTGTCATATTTACCCTTGCGAGATGCCAGACGACGAAATATTAAATTGCGCTCTACAGCAAGTGGAGCGAGGCAAGAACGTGGTGGGTTGGTGTTACATATTTTTTTAGCACAAGATGTCAAAAAAATATATGCAATAAATTACAATTTTGAAGTATGAACCTTTTTTTGAATTAACAAAAAGTTGAATATTAACTTTGTCTGAGTAACATTATTTCTCCGGTATTCGAACACTGACCCTCCATAATTATATAAACTCAGCACAATACAGAGTGACGTGTTTGATCATTAAGTTGCAAAGTGGAGTATATTGCCTGTATCTAAAACATTTTCAAATTATTATTTTTTGTTATAAAATTAACTAGACATTTGGTTTTAGCTTATATTTTAGTTTAGTAAGCAATTATTTAAAAAAAATGTGCTTTGTATTTTATACCCCCATGATGAAATTCCAGCTCCTCGTAACAAATGACAAGAATCTCTGCAATAAGGCGAGGATCAACTCCGTGAAGAACATTGGAATAAACGCCCTCAAAGGCATGCTGGAGAACAAACCGCAGCCGGCGTCTGCAGAACTCCACGCCACGTTTCTTCACCTTCGAGAGATCATATACCCGTTGCTCGCGAATATATTGGAGGTGAGATATATATATATATAGTGTTTTGATTGACGGATCCTAATTTTTCAATTTATTATTTTTCTGAAACATGTTGGACTTGAAAATCCGGATATTAATCTAGTAGGGATATCGAATATACCGTCCGGGTCGTGACCCACCCTCATGAAAAAGCCGTGAAGCTCCAACGCGTTTCGGTTTACGTCTGTGGATTTCCGAATATCCAAAGCTAAAGTAGATCGACAGAGCATCTTGTGTAGATATTATATAAATATATAAACTAACAAGATGCGATGTATTTTGGATTTCGAAATCCCTTTACTGAAACCGAAGCGGATATTTACTTCTTACCATACATACGGTTTCAAGACATACATAAGGTTTATATAGACATTTTTTTCATATTATTTTCAGAGCGAAATGCGTGCAAAATATGAGAATCTCTGGCAATATGTTATCTTCAAAGCACCACCTTGGACACTGGAAGATGTCTTGCAATGTCTACTCAAGCATTGGATAGCCGTCTTTAATGAAGTATTCCCAAGAATCGAACCGCTGATCACCGATTTGAAAAATGCTCTTGTCTCACTTCAGAATAAAAGTAAGTCTTTCGAATGTAACTTTTAGGCTTGATAAACGCTGTATCAGAAATACAGCAATATTAAGAGAAAGAAAACAGATAGGAAGAAGCAAGAATCTTACATTAACTTAACAAATGAAAAGTAGCAATTTAATTACTTCATTAAAAGCCCACACAATCTTAAATATATAACAAGCCGGTATCACATCTGTCATTTATGATTTTTCAACATAAGGGGTTCTCTCCTCTTCAAGATGACACCCCCCCGCCCTTCCTCTGCTGCATGACGTTTTGGCTGATGCAAAACATCCAAAACGTCAGATAGTTAACAAAAAGTTATCTACTTTATATCTACAGCGTTTCAACTTGTTTTGTTTTAGATCCGAAAACAGTGACCCAATCAGAAGTGACAACTTTCAAGGAGCTATGCCTAGATGTTGCGAAGAAGTGCCAAATCATTCCAGAATATATGGAATTAGCTAAGGCGTGCGTCGAGCGGTTGTCGCGTGACTGTGCGAGCGGGACGGAGGATAGGCCGGACGCTATTGTTGACGCCTTCGAGTGCATATGGACTGTGTGCTCTAGTTATTGGTGAGTGCGAGCGAGACAGCTATAATAAGTTACTAATAGTGTGAATATTAATAAGTATTGATAGTTGTTATATATAACTAGTTGTGTCAGCGACATTGTCTGTTAGAATAGTTATTTGCGTCAAAATTTTTTTAAAAACTTCCTTATCAAATCAAAAAATTAAAATCTTTTCCCCGTTTTTTCACTATTTCTTTACTCCTATTGGGCGTTATGATTTACACCCTAAAGCAAGGATGCACAGACTTATTAAAACTAGGGGCCACTCGAGCAAATGATGACCTCATGGCGTGCCAGAAGTATAGGTACGTAAAGACAATAAAGAATTGATATTTGTATTAAACCTATTAAATCTTTATTGTGTATTAAATTTAAGGAATAATTTATTAATTTGAGTATTATTTTTGCTGTCGGCGGGCCACCGGTATTCGACCTGCGGGCCGCGGTCTGTGCATCTCCCCTAAAGGTTTCCTCGATAAATGCTCTAAAGTGTAACCTTACCTATTTTGCCCGTTTTAAATGACTACATTGCACTGTTGTTTCACGTAGTCATTAGTACAAAAATTTTATACGTGTAAGTCGCTCGTATTGTGTGTCCTTTTGCTCGTAATAAAGGTATCACTAATGTTTTAGCGCTAAACTAGCGACATCTGCCGGCGTCGCTCATAGTATAGAAGACAAAATACCGGGAGAGGAGAGTTTGCCTGTTCTCACGAGCAAATGGAGTGTATTCGCGACAAATATTAATGCGATTGCACGGGACATACAGCGGTAAGTTTCAAGATTGTCTGCGAAAACACAACTATTTAAAACTTGAATTAATGAAATGCAATAGTCAACTGATTTTTTATTTGAAAACTTTACTATTTTGCTCATGTACATGATAGCAGTATATAAATTAAAAATCGATTTAGACTTGAACCGGCATCCACAGCGTTTCGTGCTGCTGCTCTAACCAATTGAACTACCGTGTCCGACACATCATCCTCGAATTTTTTCCTCTCACATTACCGTTAAAAGTGTTTTATTTAGAAACAATACGTATTGTACAAAATAGGAATATGCTTATTTTAATATTTAACTTCAGTTTGTGTCCGGAGTAGTTTGTGATTACTGCGCGACTGAAATAATTTTCCTCATGAGTAGAATCCAGGACTTAGTGCAATATCGTGCTTTTTATAACTTTATTGACGTATACAATTTCTTTTTAGAGTTCTAGCTGTTCAAGAAAATGGAGCGACAAATATTAATGAGGATGCGTTGAGTGATTTGGAGAAATCATTCAAAGAAGTGTTGTCGTCTATAGCGGCTGATAAGACAGTTACCAGAAACGAGTTGAGGGCGTTTTGTACTAAATGCAGGTAATTTTTACATAAACCTGCCTCCCCTAACTATATTCTGTGGCCTTGCATTACTGTATAAAATTAAATTGAAAGTAAAGAACGAAAAGGAAACTAAATCGCTGTTTTCTGTGGACTAGTACTTCACTGTTGATCCCGTTGACTTAGTTCAATATTCTATGTTCACAGAAGTTTTTTATTATTTAACAGTGTATTATTATAATGTATCTATTTCTTCTATTGCCTAAATTAGGTTTGTTTCTGATAATATATATAATCTGTTTTAAAATAAAAGCTATTAATAACAACGCCATCTAGTGTGGAAAAGCTAAATCTTGCCAACATTCATTATTAATTGACAGTTTAATTAATAAAATGTGGGTGTTTCTAGTGTTAAATTACATTTTGTTACATAGTAATTAATTATTTTATGTCTAAACAAAACATTTTAAACGCGAAATATATTAGTTTTTCAATTTATTTTATCTACGACTCATCGTTTCGGATGCTTTGCAACTAACTAAGCAACCGCGGTCTTCTGTGACTAAATTATTTCGCGTTTTTAACCGAAAAAATTGTTTTGTTTAAACTAAATACTAGCGAAAATTACAGACATGTTTTTTTTGCAGGAATATGCTTCAAGAAGCGTCAAGTAAGTTCTCGCAACTCGGCGATCTTCTCATTATATGTAAGAATAAGCTGTCCAATTAATTTAAATGTCCTATCACAGACAAAAGTTATTTCATTGTAGTTTTAATTAAAATTCGTTTTCGTTGTTGTTTAACTAGTATTAAGATCTTAAATTGTATAAGACTTTCGCGACCAATTTATGAAGCTCCTTGAGTCTTCGAGCTGTTCAGAATTTTTGACGACGTGGATCCATGTAGGGTTCGCCGTCCACGATCTTTAAAACTCAAGAAGCGTTTAAGATTGTTTAAGTTTAGGATTTAATTTCATTAACCTATTTCTTGTTTGCCATTTTTGCTATACCAAAAAATTTTAAATTGTTTAGTTCAAGAATGATCAAACAGGCGTAAAAATATGTAATTATTTTTACAATTGACCGCCCCGCTAACTTAAATGCTAAATGCATTTATAATTATATATTAATTGTTACCCTAATGATAATTAGACAAGATGTCGTTTTTGTTAGGTAGGCTTTTTGTAGCACAGTGTTCACTTGATGGAAGGTGAAATACTCCTGTCACATAACAATAAAATGCGCTGGCGACTAATTTGAAACACGTTTAAACTTTGCGGCTGTTTCATCTGTAGATGATGGTTCGTGATCCGGACGGAATTTCGATATTCCAACCAATTACAATCCCGATTTCCAGATGAAGCCCAAGATGTTTCGTAAATCAACTGGTGGGATTCGAATCCACGACTCATATAGAGTTATACTATAAAGTCTATTTGTTGTTTACGCGAGTAGTACACATTTAAATAAAACACTTTAATGGTTTAAAATGCGATATATATTAGTTTAAACTTATATGAAAATTATTTTTAATTTCGCCCGACATTTCGGATTCTTTGCAGCGGCCGTGGTCGGAGGGAGTTAAAAATAATTTTCAAATAAGTTTAACTAATTAACTATCAAGTCTTTTAAATAAAACACTTTAACGGTTTAAAATGCGATGTATTAGTTAAACTTATTTGGAAATGATTTTTAACTTCGGCCCGACGTTTCGGATGCTTCGCAGCAGCCGTGGTCACAGGGAGACTCCGGGCCGAAGTTAAAAATCATTTTTAAATAAGTTTAACTAACACATCGCATTTTAAACCGTTAAAGTGTTTTATTTAAACGTGTACTACTCGCGTAAACTATAGACAGTATTTAACTATCAAGTCTGTCAAAATCGTCCGCGGTTATATCGTTTTAATACAATTTAAATAACAGCGTCCAATTAAAAAAAATACTGTTTATATTTCAATACCTCTATAACAAAATCTAAATCACTTTTGTCTGCGATAAAACTTTTTAGTCTAGCCTCAAGGTGATCGCAAATTCGTTACCAACGTACACGCTGAATGTAACGCGTTAAAACCTATCTTAGCTTTACCGTACTTGCTGCAATTTCTTATTGATAAATTCGGCACGCATGTTGCTGACATATCTGCTATCATCTTTATTCGTAATACCGATGTGAAGACACTAGGTTTTGTCCTTTTTCTCTCTAATTTTGTTGATAAGGACAAAACCTATTTACCTTAAAGCTATGTTATTTCATTGAAAGATGAAATTCCTTTGTTATTTGTAAAATGAACTATCTCTTTCAAATATAGCTCTCAAAAAGTTTGATTAATAGACGGACAGACATTTTTAATAGCGATTTCGTTATACAATCACCTTTATTTCAATTGTTTTTGTAAACAATTACAAATATAATGTTAGTTTTTCTATTAAAAAAATATCTATGCGCTTTTGAACCTGTAATTTATAAAGAGCATACTTTGTATTTTTTACGAATTACGAAATTTCATTGCCCTTCTAAGACTGATTTTAATTTAAGCTATGTAATACGCCACGCCACGTTATAAATATATAATGTCTATATGTATTTTTGTTATATCCACTTACAGACAAAATGCATATGCCGTAATGTACCTTTGTTTATATCTAAGATAGAACATATAGTATATATATAAAGTGGTTAAATGTCTGTATATGAATATATGTAGGGTGATCAGAAAAATATGTAAGTAAAAAGGCTCTTCAAAGAGTCATATGATTGTAGTTTTTTTAAGCAAAAAACAAATTCAATATACCAACATGACTTTTGTACATATGGATTTCTCACGTGATAGCTTAATCGAAAGTTTCGAAATCGAAAGGACACGCTAGCTTAATTTTCGCCAATCGCTATAGCCGTAGGTTCGTGTCATGTCGTTTATCTTCAATCTAAATCATTTAAATTTAATTTCGATAAGATTAATTCAAATACTGTCTGTAGTTTACGCGAGTAGTAGACATTGAAATAAAACATTAATGGTTTAACGATATAATATATCAGTTAAGCGTTCCCGTGACCAGGGCTGCTACCAAGCATCCGAAACGTCGGTCCATAGTTTAAATGATTTTCAAATAAGTTTAACTAATATATTTCGCATTTCAAAGCGTTAGTGTCTTATGTGAATAAGATTATTATGTAAAGAAATCAAAAGTACATATTAACATACTTATTACATTCGAGAGTTTCGATTCTGTAACAATACTTATTTAAAAGAGGTACTAAACTTTAAGCCAATTTATTTATTTAACTGTTTTATTAAAAATATATTCAGTTTTTTTTTATGATAGAGGAGGACAGATAAGCATTGGGTTCGCTTGATCGTAGGTGAATGCTCCAGCCATATAACATCCAAACAAGATGCTCTGTTTACCCATTGGATAATCGGTTATAAAAAATTTACGACGCTTGAACCTTGAATTTATAGCGTTCCGTGCTGCTCTAACCAATTGAGCTACCGTGTTTGAATAGACTTTTGTTTATAAAATTGAATGACATCTAGAAAATATTTAAGCTTTCAAATATTAAATTGTTCACAAACATATACCTATTGCATAAGCAAGCGTGTTTAAAAACTTGTCTCGTATTACATTATGTAACAATTTATTAAAAAAAAAAATATTAAGTAATACTTAATACTGTATATAATTTGTAATGTATTTTATAAGTGTATATTTTATTTTGTTCAACCTTTTCGAGGATATGATTTACCGATATATGATAGAGTTCAAATTAAATGTTGAGGTCAAAAAACGTTATTTGGGCGTTTTAAGTTGTTCAAACTTAGCAGTCAAGGTATGTTGTAGGTAAGTTGGCAAATGCGGCTTAATTTATTAGACAGTTGTTGTGACTCAAATTCGTTGTTCATCGAGATGTCATAATGTGCAAATCACACAATAATTATGCGCATGCTTTAAACTACTTTCTAACCGTTTGAAACCCGAATGGTTACTTGTTTTTATGACGATCCGTTGTTTCGGATGCTTTGCAGCCGCGGTAACGCGGTATTAAAAATGATGGGAGTTCCTAATGTCAAAGTCAAGTATGCATTACTAGCGCCATCTGTGTCGATAAATTATGTATTATCGTTCTATGTTATTAGCTTTAATTACGATTCAATGTCCTTAGTCTAAAAATACCTTTTTTTCAATGATTGAATTTGTTTGTTTGTTTTTAGGCTGTTCTAATATATTCAATACCTTCTGAAGAAATAGGTCTTAAATTTAGGACGTGATCAATAATACTATAATTATTTCTTCAGTTCCAGGCATGTGTTTGGAATAATCTATCAGGGCGGTCAAAAATGTTATTTATCAAATTGTATGTATTACAGCGAAGATACTAGGCTACAGTCTTGGAACTATGTACCGCTATTTTGTAAACTATGTTTGCAGTTTTTGCGATTTGCGATACTATTTCAATTTAAATACAAGTCCATTAATTCTCCTCAATATTTTTTTTCGCCAAACTTATAAGTATAAAAACGGTTGCAATATCAGAATTGGACTAGATTTTTCTTCTATCGAATAGTCTTGGTACAATGATATTGACGTATAATTAATCATTGGGTAGCGAGCTCGATTCCCGCCACATCCAACATCTCGCTTTTCTGAAAAAGTCCCAAGTCTAAGACTTGGCCTGGAAAATATGGGTGGTAAGAATATAGATATTCCTCCGGGTCTTGTTCAGATAACTGGGTGACTTCCAACTCAAAATAAATTGAGCCTCTATATTCAAATGTGCGTTTACTAAACAATACATTCCATTGTTTTCCTCTTTTTTGTTATATCGGTTATATCTTATTGGTATGTATAACTTTGTTGTTATTGCAAGAAACTTTATGAACTGTAAGATTTCTTTGTGTAAATACATATGTACAGAGATTATGAGTGTTATTATAAGATTGGTGGCATTAAATGTATTTAAACAGAAGCTTTGTGTTTACGTACGCCACACAACAATTTTATTATTTTCATAACATTTTACACAATTGCGTTTCACAGTGCTACTCGCATTGTATTTTAAACTTAAAGGTAATGTTAAGTTATTATCTTAACATTTATTTGTGAATCCGTCAAAATCAGTTTAGACTTTTATCCTTGAAACTTACTTCATAGTATAAGTTTAAATAAATATATAAATAAATAAGTTTAAATCGCATGTAAAACAAAAACTCCTTGAAAAGGGTTATTATCACGTTAATCAATATTTAAAGGATATAAATTCTTGGAGTGTGGAGGAACCCGCTCTTAAAAAAATATGTAGCGCACTAAAAGTAAAATAAGAATGTAAATAAAAGTAAATAAAAGGAGTGACGGCGAGTTTATTGCCAGTTCTTCTAGTTGGTTCTACGCCCTTAATTTGAGAGCTGGTAGTAAATGTAAAGTTAGATTCTTTAATTTTGTGACGTTCATAAGTGTACACAGTTACCTACATGAATGAATGATTTTTGACTGACAAACAGAGCTGTACATTATGAGGTCACTACAGCTTATTTCAATACTACAGTAATTACTATTATATTGCAATTGGAAATATAATCCAAATTAAGACATCATTAATTTTCCTTATTGTTTAACAAATTGCAAGCAATTAATCGATTATAACAATTAATATTTCTTTAGTACTTCCTGTCTTTATTTGTTTCAATTACGAAAGAAAAATATTTTTCTTGGTTTAGTTAGTATGAATGCCATACGCGGTTTTGATCATATCTGCAGCTTTTTCAGCTATCATGACAACCGTGCCGTATGTGTTCCCACTCACTATCGAGGGCATTACACTGGCATCCACCACCCTCAATCCCTTCACGCCTCGGACGAGTAGCGTGTCATCCACCACGCCATCGGTGCCCATAGCGCAGGTACCTATTGGATGGTACAGAGTTGAAGCCATGTTGAGAGCATAACACTCCCAGTAGTCCCGACTACCGAACCACTTTAACTTGCATTGGTCGACTTTTAAATCCGCCGCCTTAGCCGAGGTACTTTTAAACAGTTTCGAGCTGGTCACAGTCAAAAAGTCCTCAGTAGCTCTTGCCAACTTTGTTTTGTCGTCTTTGACTGAGAAATAACCGCTGCTCACCTCAGGATAGTCTTTAGGATTCGTCGTCTTCAAGCGAACTGATCCCCTCGATTCAGGGTGCAGCAAGACTAGAAAAGCAAAGAATATATCGTGGTGGGACGCCTCTGCTGCCGCTATGCATATATCCTCGTTATATTTAAACACTTCTGTACACATTAGTGTCACGAACAAAGAACCAGATGGGAATGGAAAGCCGATAATTTGATAAAATGGTTGCGTGTCGTTCTTATCCAAGCTTATAAGACCCATTACACACGGCGCAGGAAAGTCTCCGAGTTTTGGCAGTGTTTTCAAGTCGCTGACGAGTATGGGAAATTCCGTTTCCCCTTGTATTATTATAGGAATAAGTGGATGATCTTGCATATTACTACCGACCCGCGGTGAGTCTACAATTGTGTTGATACCTAGTTTTTTCAGGTGATCTGCGGGTCCGATTCCGGATAGCATGAGAACTTGTGGACTTCTTATCGCTCCCGCAGACAAGATTACTTCAATGTTGGCCATTAGTTCCATAGTTTCATCATCGGTTTCAACTTCAACGCCGACAGCGACGCCGTCCTTAATTATGATTTTTCTTACATAACATTTTTTGAGGACGTGAAGGTTGGGCCGATCCTTAATCGGTCGTATGAAAGCGACGCCTGCGCTCTGTCTGAGTTCTGCGCTGGTGAATTGCGGTGTCCCATATCCGTTACGTTCGTATCCATTGATGTCTTCGACGATCTGTCGCCCGTTTTCTTCGAACGCCTCGAAGTACGGCGCCAGATCTTTCGTCCAGTTGTACTGCGTTACTCCTAGATATCCGTCCGTGCTATGCAATTGACCAGAATCACTTTTGAGGATCGCTCGGTTTGTAAACCTCTCGCTCTTCATGTAGTACTTGAGTGCGGTCTTCCAATCCCATCCTTGGACACCTCTATCAGCCCAATCTTCAAAGTCCCTCTCGTTTCCTCTCACGTAGTACATGAAATTCAAGGAGCTGGATCCGCCCAGCATGTTGCCTTGGGTGTAGACGATGCTCTTTGTGTTTTGGGCTTGACTGGAGTATTCATCGTTTTTTGCGTCGAAGTCCCAGCGCGGAAGCTTGGGAGCGGTCACTACTGATACACCTGGGCTCTGAAAATTTGTAATATATACAGTTTTCAATTGGATTCGTTGTTTTTTATTTAATTTAAGCGTGATACTTTTAAACAAAATGTATTAATTTTAAGGCGAATGCTAAAAATAACTTGATTACATTGATACCGGTGAACGTTAAATTATACTTCTACATTGAAATCTCGATAACTGGAACGTTAAGGGAAATGCTAAAAAATCGAGTTAATGTGTTTTCTACTAAACAAGTAATTTATTTACAAAGGATTTGCTAAAACTTTGACTAAGAAATATACGGTTTCTAACTAAATTTTTCGACTGGTAAAGTCAAAGTTAAACAACAATTCGGCTTAAGATTTATGGTAAATCAAATTATATAGCAGTGAAGTAAACTGCACAAACTATAAAAATTTGTTAGGTATCTTCTATTTTATTGCTATGATTTCGAAGAAGTCCAAGAAAGACGTCATTTCATTTTACTAACTTCGACTTACAGAGTCTCGTTTTTGAAATTTGAGTTACAGAGTCATAGGCAATATTCTTAGCAATAGATCATAGGAAAATAATATTTTTGTTCGAGTTACTAATTCTAATTAATTTGAGATACCGCGTATTTAGAGGTTTAGCGGAGGGAGATAGCATTTTTTTTTCGACTCACTGAGGGTTTCGACTAAACGAGGTTCAAGTTATAGAAATTTCACTGTATAACCATCTTGTTAACGATGCACACGAAAACGTATATTAATTGAACATAGTATAATTACATCTGAAGCGAGTGGCGGATAGTCTCCTGCCTCGATCAGTAGCACAGTCCAGTTTGATACTTCGGTGAGGCGGTTGGCGACTACACAGCCGGCGGATCCCCCTCCGACTACTATGAAGTCGTAGCTTCTTCCGGCTTTAATTGTACAAAAATAAAATGTTTAAATAAAACACTCTAACGGTTTAAAACGCGATATATTAGTTAAGCTTATTTGGAAATGATTTTTAACTTCGGCCCGACGTTTCGGATGCGCGTTCGTGTTCGGATCCGTGACCGCGTTTTAAACTGTTAAAGTGTTTTATTTAAATGTGTACACCCGCGTAAACTATAGACAGTATTTAAATATAAAATGTTTTATCGAACAGAAAAATACAATACAGGTTTCGGGTGTTTGATCGACGGTTTTTGTACGAACAATTTACCGAAGCCGAAGCATTATTAACTAACAAATTATTATCTTCATTTCGGCTAGAAACCTCTTTTTATTACCATTTATGATATAACGGCATGAAATAAAAATGATGAATTATAAGGAATATGCAAAATATATGTACATATATTGTTCAAGCTTCTTACCATTTCTTATGACTCACACACACACACAGAGTCATGTACTCTATATTTCTCTAGTCTTTACTATTATATCGTTGAAAAACCTTTCTTTAGGAGCAAAATGACGTAAATGTTCACTTTTAACCTTGTTTAATGGGAATGAAATGGTGCGCGGGTCAACAAAAAGTCAAACTAGGGTTCTTTATTTTTTCCGATTCAGACTAAGAAGTATATATTAGTCCTTAGTTACTAGTATAATATATGACATTAAAAACAATTTTTTGCAGTCGGTTAAAAATTTACACTTACCTGTAACATCAGCTTGTGGCGGGTAGTATAGGTTTTTAAAATCTCCCGAAGTGATACCTACTATGATGATTTGAACGACTGCTAAAAGGGGGGCGAGTACTTTGACATCGATATAGGCTAAGGCTGATATAGCCAGGTTTAACAACATTCTGGAACAAGTATGAGCTGTAATGGAAAAAAAGAGAAAAAATTTGTCAGTAGTAATCTTATTATTATACAAAGTTTGAAAGAAAATTTTTGACATGTTTCGACTTTCGGTTTTGTAACATATATTCATTACAACGGAATACGCCCTTTTATCTAATAATTCAGTCTTTTGAGATAGATATGTTGGAGAAATCTAGTTTTGATATAAAATCAAATATATGAATACAGAACAAAAAAAAGACAACAATACGAAGTGGCAAATTAATAAATATTTCGTAAATATTATTTTAACTGTTTTTCAGATACTACAAAGGTATCTCTTTAAAATCTTAGTTATTTTACTTAAAACATGATGAATAACTATAACTATATATACCTATATATCTTGCAACAACTTTATCCCGAAAATGTTTCACTTTGCTTAATAAATTTAATGCAATTTACTTATTTTCCTACAAAAAGAATTCGCTGGAAGTGTGACTTGATAAAGTTACTTTAAATACTGTCTAAGTTCGCGAGTAGTACACATTTAAATAAAACACTTTACTTTAACTCAACCTTATAAATTTTTGAAAATGCTAGTTTAACTAATTTAAACGTTACGTTTTTAACTTTAACTTTTTTCTATACATATCCGCGTAATACATCTAATATTTTTTTTCTCGACCGAACTACACGATATCTGACTCAATACAGACTCGCATAGAAATGAGATCTTAGTTATATACTTTTTCATTTCTATATTGCTTAATAATTCGTTTTCTTTCCTTTTCTCCTTATTTGTAATTTTTTATTTCAAATTGCCCCTTGTTACGTTGCAATACATATGCTTGTAATACTGCATTTTATGGTTTAAAGAAGTGGGTATGTTTTAATTTTCAGAGGCCCACATTGTATACGAAATAGTGGTAAACTTTAACCTAAATTTTTTTTTTATTAAATTATATATATTAAAATTCCGTCCACACCTGAAAAGGCGTTATTATAACTAAATCAAAAGTACAGTAAGCTGAATTCTACACTGAACTATGTACGCTATATCAAGCTGCAAGTCTCGAGTTGCCAACATACAAGTAAAGTGCAACGGACATGGAATTGTATCTGTCAAATGAAACAGGATTGTTCACTAGGATGCCAACTTGACGACTATATTTGTTGAAGCAATCGTGCTAAAATTAATTTATCATTACAGTCTTAGTAGGGTTCATTTTGTAATGGTAGCAATATATCGCTAATAATTACGTGGCTTGATCTAAAAAATTTAAAATTTTTCTGAAACACGCTTAATTTCGTCTGGAACGATCTGAATATTAAATGGATGGTAGGAATGTTGGAATTCGATACGGGCCACAAACCGCCGGACACAGAAAAAAGCTGTGCAGTTTAATCGCGTTTCGGTTTCAGCCCGTGGATTTCCGAATATCCACACAAATACAGCACATCTTGTTGAAATGTTTAATGGCTGGGGTAATACATTTAGTGATCACTTTAATTTTAAATTATCACTTTACTTGGATAAGGAAAGCTCGTGAATTCCCTATTATTGTGAAAGAGTTGTGACGGACAATAGGGCCCACTAACCCGCACTGGAGCAGCGTCTCTAAAAAGCTCTACGATCCTCTCTCCTAAGAGAGAGCTTAAAAAACGACGCATAAAATATTTAAGGTACCTACCTACTTTCTTTTTTGAACTGAACTCCCTGAGATCTTCGTAATAACTGGTAATCAATGCTAAATAGGTTTTATTTACATGTGTCGGGTGCGAAATGAGCATATATAGGCCTTTTTTTACTGAAATATTTGTGCACGACAAATATAAGCGGAAACAATATTTAAAGTAGCTGATAAAAATCATGTTAGTGATGTCGTGCTTTGATCTAATTCAAACAATTGTAGATCAGTAGTATTAAATTTATAAGATAATTAATGACAATAATTAAAATCCAAGTCATCAAATTTTTATCAAAAGCAGCCGCGTTGTTTTTTTTTATTTTAAAAGTAAATAAATAATAAAAAATAAATAAAAGTTAGTAGTTAAGTGATATAAATAAAACACTTTAACTATGGCCCGGCGTTTCGGATGCTTTGACGCGGCTCTTTTCAAATAAATTTAACAAACATATTTCGTGTTTTAAACCGTTAGTGTTTTATTTAATGTGTACCAAGTACTCGCGTAAAATACAGACAGGACATATTATATATTTATCAAGCAAAGCTCGTATGCGGTACGATAGGAATTTGTTTTGTAACTTCGTACCTTATACGTATGCCTGTCAATCTAATGGTCTCCGTAGCTGAAGAGATATGCTATGATTTTTTGCTGAACAGTCCCTTTCTCCAAACCGATCTGTATCTTATTATTTGCGCCTTCCAATTACCAGAGGTTTGAAGTTCCCTTATCGGCCTCTTCAAGGGCTAATAAGTTTCTCAAAAGGTAGCGAAAACAACTGATCAACTAAAAATAAGTATCACACGTCAATTAAACTAACTAATAATTAATTAAGAATATATAATTTGCATATCAATAAATTAATAGAAACTTCTAGGCGCTGTGCCACCAAATCATTTTAGGTCGTTTAACTCCACCACATTAAAAATATTGTTTTAATTAAAGTGTTACAAAACCTTAATATTCTTCACATGATGACATTGTATAAATTAAAAAACTATTCAAATTGAAAAACATTAGGAGTTTTAAACTCCTAATTTTTTTCAATTTAGTTACAGTTAAATGAACTTTATAACATATTTGGTCGTAAAGTGGTTGTAATTACTAATTACACCAATTTCAATATCGTAATGTATCTCATTACGTACTTGTATGATAATGTAATGTAAAAGGCACGTGTTTTTTTAAATAAAGTTTTAAGATACTCCGTCTAAAAATGAACAATACTTTTAAAAATTTTAGCAAAGAGGTTTTATGTCAAGAAAGTGGTCAATATTTTATGAATAAAATTAACTTTGGGAAATAAAATATGACAAATAAACATTTAATTCTTTAATTTAATTAATTTTGACAATAAATCTATAACAAAAACACATAAATATTAATTTACTTCATTAGTAATGCTGTCTGTTTTTGTACCTTTGCCTAAAAAAAAGTTGATGCGCGCGCATCGCTTATAACTGCTTTAACAATTATTTAAAGATTGATTCGTTTAACTACGTTAGAGTTTTATTAATTTCCTCGTAAATATGTTTATAAAACGTCGTAAGCCTCTGCTTTCTTATAGCCCTCGCCGATGGCTCGGGCTTAATATCGCCTCGGCTGTAATTTTCAACTTACGGCACTTATATTATAATGTACTATTACAGTTCATAACAATCTAGCAGATTTATTTTGTAGCAGTTTATTTCATTACTAAAATACATACAATACATTTTAAAAAATTCCAGCGGACGGAACTCGATCCCAGAACAAAGAGCTACAATGTACCTCTTTTTATATTACACTCCACTAAAGAAGTTTGTAGAGCAAAAGAGCGACATGAATTGTAAATACGAATGAATTTTTATTAAAGAATTACGTAATTTTAAATTAGTATTCTGACAGCACAAGGCTTTGCAATGATTAGAAGCATAAAGTACCTGATAGTTAGTATAAGCTTTCCGTAAAACAACACACGAATATAAGATGCGATGCCGGCCTTTGATGCGTTAAATCTTTCCGTTAGATGTGAAGTCTTCGGAATCACAAATGATTATATATGTGTTTTTTGTAATATGTAAAAAGTAACGCTTTATCATGGTTTTGAGGCCAATCTAAATCTAATTAATTAGCCTTCACATTGTTTTTACGTCGAAGAGCTTCGCCTGAAGAAGATATAATTCATACGCACTATTTAACTCAATTAAATATTAATTTAAGTTTGTATGCTTTATTATTTTTCACAAGTTATTGCACATGATGGCAGTATGTAAATTAAAACCCGGTTCAAATTGAAAAGAAAATACGACTCAGGCGGGACTTGAACTGACATCCGCAGCTTTCCGTGCTGTTGCTCTAACCAGATCGGACTCGGTAGCTCAAATGGTTAGGGCAATCAGATCGGACTCGGTAACGCAATTGGTTAGAGCAACAGTCTGTGGATGCCGGTTCGAGTCCTGCCCAAGTCGTAATTTGTTTAAATTTGTAATAAATTTTAATTTAATTAAATATGTGTTACGCACTCAGTTTATTACTCGTATCGTGAATGTCGGCAAAATTACCTTTTTTTTTAACTATAAATTAAAGTTAAACAAGAATAAAGCATTATGTGCTTTTACTTACACAATATAATATGTTAAAGGGTAAAAATAAAGAGATAGATAAGATATTTTCGTGAGAACTAATGGCGAAACATGTTGTAACTCAAATGGAATGTAAGACTTAATTATATCGCTTATATTTAGACACTATTTAATACATTCAAGATGTGGTGTCGCCTAATAAAAGCTACTTAATATGTATTATTATCTTGATCTTTAAGTGTTTTGAATGTAGATGGCCAGCTCAATTGATACGTGAGGATTTTATAAAAAAAATTACTTCAACGAAAATTCCTCATTTTAATTTGATTTAAAGTAAAAAGAGAAGAGAAGGTTGCGAACCAAAGGGGTCTAGTATCATATTCATTTATGAATCCTTATTACCATTTTCTTACCACACTAAGTATCCTAAGGGTTCGACGTATTTGAATCAAACATTTAAAAATACTATTAGGTCTCTCTCAAGATTTATTTAAAACATAAAAGAATATTCCTAAATTACATAGGCTAAAATAGAATATTAGTGAATGGTTTCACTAATAAGAATTACACAGCCTTAATGAAAAATAGAGATGGCATTATTAACAGTAGAGGGTTTTGGTAAAAACAAAATTAGTTTTTGTCACATCCTTTTTCTAAGGATTCAGACCTGACTGACAGAGAGATTTGACATTTCATTCATTTCAGTTAACGGTTTTTATATATGATACGCGAGTGTCAAACTTCTTGGCATAAAAAATATTACTGAAGTTGTGTGATTTGTACGATTCCCATAGTACGAGACAACTGTTAGAGGAACTGCCTATCCAAATAAAGTATAGATAACAATTCAAATCACAATACAAACTTCCGTCTCTTTTGTATGTTTGTTTAATCATATCAGCGGCCTTTTCGGCTATCATGACGACAGTAGCGTACGTGTTCCCACTCACGATTGATGGCATTACACTTGCATCCACAACTCTCAGTCGATTAACACCTCTGACTAGCAGCGCTTTATCCACCACACCATCTCTACCCATTGCGCACGTCCCGACTGGGTGGTACACCGAAGAGGCCATGTTTTTAACGAAACACTCCCAATAGTCTCTACTACCAAATATGTACTCTTTACAGTGTGTAACACCTAAATCAGTAACTGTAGCAGATTTTCTTTTGAAATATGTTGTGTTGACGATAGAAATGAAGTCTTCAACAGACTTGGCAAACGTGGTAATGTCATCCTTATTGGAAAAAAAGCCTGTGACCACTTCGGGGTCACTCATAGGGTCATTACTTTTGAGTCGCACATATCCTCTTGATTTTGGATGCAATAAAACCACCAGGGCAAATAGGACATCATGGTGGGATGCCTTCGCGACGTTGACGCAAATGGCCCTGTTCCATTTGAAAACTTCAATACACATGAGAGAACTAAATAGACTTCCACGTGGGAACGGGAAGGCTTTTACTTGGTAATCTGGACGAGGTCCTTTATCTAACGCACCGAAACCCATTACGCAAGGCTTTGGGAATTCATTTAAACGTGGTATCACTTTCAAATCACTAGGATATACACCGGCAAATGAAATTTCTTGCCCGGGAATTAGTATTGGGACCGTAGCGTGGTCCTGCAAGTTCGCGCCTACGTGCGGAGAGTGGTAAATTAAAGGTATATTATGTTCTTTGAGATGATATTTTGGACCCACTCCAGATTGTAAAAGAAGCTGCGGACTTTTAATTGTTCCTGCCGATAGAATTACCTCTATATTTGATTTTATTTTCTTTACATTTCCATTAACATCCGTTACCTCAACGCCAACAGCTGTATTGTTAACAAATATAATTTTGCTGACATAACTATGTCTAAGGATTGAGAGGTTTGTACGATTTAATGGTCTTATATATGACACCAGCGAACTTTGCCTTAAGTTATCGGCTATCGAGAACTGAGGTATAGAGTAACCGATTTGATCATTACCGTTAGTGTCGTTGAGAATTGTTCGGCCGTTTTCCTTTAAAGAATCGAAAAGCTCTTTGGTTTCTTCCTCCCAGTCGTATTTAGTGACTCCTAAATAACCGTTTGTGTTATGTAAATGACCCGTATTACTATTGAGAATATCTTCGTCTTTAAATCTTTCGCTCATTTTATAATATTGTTGTACGGATTCCCAATCCCAGCCTTCACTACCTTTTTCAAGCCAGTCGTCAAAGTCTTTCTCATTACCCTTGACATAGTACATGAAGTTCGAACTACTTGACCCTCCCATCATTTTTCCTTGGGAGTATATAATCTTTTTGGACTGCAATGCTTGGCTGGAGTATCCGTCATCTGTGGCAGAGAACTCCCAGTGGGGCAGGGCAGGAGCTATAAGGGTTGATACCCCTGGAATCTGAAAAGAAACAGATACATGTATAAGTAAAGAAAAAGAAATACTCTTCTTCCCACCTACCTACATCATTAAATCATAATAATGTTTGAAGAAAAAAAAAAATGTTTTAAGATACATACTTACGTCAGATGCTAAAGGCGGGTCTTCCCCGGCTTCTATGACAAGCACGGACCAATGAGGTACCTCCGTTAGGCGGTTAGCAAGCACGCAAGCGGCTGTACCGCCACCTATTATCACAAAGTCGTATCTTTCTCCATCTGAAAATGAACTGTAGTAAAATCAATGTTTGATAATGAATTATATCGAACGAACAAACATTGACGAATTCGTTAGAATCAAAAAATCCGTAAATATATCATCAACACAAAAATATGATAAACCAAACTGAGATTTCCCAGCTTTCGTACTTCGCTAATTCTATAGTAAAAATTGTAAAGTGGATAAAGGAAAGAGGTTATATATTTTCCTATTAAACACTCTGCACACTAATCTGCGACTTGTAATATGAAAGAATTAAAACAATATTTATTACCTAGTACTTAGATAATTTATTTTACTAGTTAATGTCTTTTAATAATGGAATTTAAAACTGGCAGCTTCGAGGCAAACTCACCCTGACCATTTTGTAGTGGATAATATTGATACTTGTAGCGTTCAGAAACGGTTACTATAAGTAACTGCAGGCACCAAACTAAAGTCGCAAGTATCTTTACGTCGAAGTAAGCGATGAGGGAGAGTAGCATCGTACAATGGTCCTAGAAAAAAGACTAAAGAAATTTTTTAAACTGTAATGGATCTACGATACGATGTCCACGAATATATTATGTTGCCGGCCTTTTTTGTGGTCCTGTGATTTATCAGCTCCTCAAGACAAACTTATAATAAAAGGACAATAAAAAACATAATTTACACTTAGTATTATAATTACTTAAAATACTAGCTGTGCCCGCGACTTCGTTCGCGTGGAATAGTGACTTGGGGTAGACTATTTAATTATTTAGGCTGTTTATTAATTTATGTAATTGTGTATTTTAGCCAATCTATGTTGTAAGTGCTACTATGTCGCAACACTCTCACCTCGCATAACTCTCACTCCGCCCACTCCCATCCCCACTCCTATTCCCAAAAAGCCTATGAAGAAATTTTAAAAAATTTCCATACAAACTTTCACCCCCCCTTTTAACCTCTTACAACCCCCTTTTCGCAATAAAAAGTATGAGCAATAAAGCCTATGTCCTTTCTCAGGGTCTAGACCTGTGTACCAATTTTCATTCAAATCCGTTCAGTAGTTTTGGCATTAAAGAGTAACAGACAGACAGACAGAGTTACTTTCGCATTTATAATATTAGTAAGGATAGTAGTTATAATATTATAGTATTAGGTCCATTAGTTACTTATTCTCAGAAATTATTTTCCAGTTCCTAATTTTTAGCATTAAGTTGAAAGTAAAAATCTAGGTATTTTTGCTGTAGGGATACAGTAGAACTTTTTGTTTTGGCACTTGATTTTACATCTTTCAAGAAAAAAAGGATCGTAACTAATTATTATAGTATGTACTGATGTTAAGCGCTTTTCTAATTGAAGTTAAAAATCTCAACACAGTAATAGAAATTATTTGTATGTAAAATTTTGTCAAAATTATTAAAAACAGTGGATACAAAAAAAAATAAAAATTAAAAATATATTTTAATTTTTGTCGTACCATGTTAGATACGTTTTTGTCATACAACGTTTTATAGCTTGTATATTATTTAAGTAAATCGGCATGAAAATATCCGCCCGTCTTCGCATTGTAAGCCCCACCAATTTAAAATTTTCACCGAAATAAATTCAGTCGTTCTTGACTTATAAATATGTAATTTGTAACCAATACGATTTTCTTGCGTAATATAATATTATTTGCCACTAGCCCGTTAGAATTCTGAAAAACAAGTCAAACTCGATTACAGACTTGCTTTGGTTGGGTTATTCCAATGTATTCAATAAATAGAATTGTTTAAACATACGTTAAAAACACTGCCCTATTTCAACGTTGTCTTTATTTTTTTGTTTTTCTTAACTAAGGGTATAACTTAAAACTGTACATACCCTATTTTAGAACTAGCTGCGTAAATACTGTGGGCATCCGAATCGTCGTCGATCGGGTGCCGGCGTTCTTGCAAGTTAATTTTAAAAGAAAGACAAACAGAGGACTTTTTTTAGATCATTTACAAGTTTTTTTTTTGTACTTTGAACCGTTTTTGCAGCGTACGTATCGGAAATCCACAATAATAATTTGACCCACAATTAAATTTTTCACACTTCCCCTTATGTCTTCGCTCCTATTTGTCACATCGCGATGAGTGAGCCAACACAAAAATTTTCAATTCGAATCCGTAATTCCTGAGAATAGCGCGTTCAAACTAACAAACTCTTCAGCCTTATATATTTGTATATATATAAATAGAAGTACATATAGTTAAAAATTAACATTTTTTACATTTGAATATCCGTTACATATTGTTACAATAATTCGGCGTTACATAATCTGGATTTCAAATACAGTTAAACTTATTCTTCATCATGCACTTTGATGAAACTCTATACTTTTTTAGTCGTAGTCAATATTATAGCTCGACAGCGCATCTTCTTCAAATGTTATATAGGGTCATACTGGGGTATTTTACATTCTATTCCCTCTTTCAGCTATTCTGGCAAAGTGAATGACTGGGTATCTCCTACATATCTAAGATTATATATTACATATTGTATGCATAGCGAAAACTTACCTTACTTTAAAAAAACGTATAAATTATTCGAATAACACAATTATAAATTATTGATACCACAAGCACTTGAAGCGGAATATATTACGACTATGTAACATAGAAAAATCAAATATACTTGAGTTTTGATTTTACATACTTACTTACGTCATAAGTTATAAAAAGTGCTAAATGTATTCAAGCAAAAAACTATAAGCCGAAAATTAGAAAAACACATAAAATACGTCTTATGCCTCGAAATAAAAAAATATTATTATATTGTAGCGAGGAAGTTTGTATGTTTGTTCGTTGAAGCAAGTGCCTTCAACGAACAAACATACAAACTTCCTCGCTATTCTTATGAATGGACTATAGGACTATATTAATAGGTACTGAGTCTGAGTTGACAAAAGTGTTAAACCATATGTAAAGTACATACTTCGAGATATATAAATATATTAATTTTTTTAGGCTTCATGTTACCTGTCAATAATATATCTTGATATTTAAATAAATCGCTTTGCCGGTTTAAAATGCCACAAATATATAGTTAAACTTATTTGAAAATAGTTTTAATTTCGGCAGCCGTGGTCACGAGTAGAGTCAGTCAATCAGTCTGCTGCAAAGCATCCGAAACGTCGGACCGAAGTTAAAAAATATATTTCGAATAACTAATATAAATCGTGTTTTAAACCATTAGGTTTTATTTAAACGTGTACTACTCGCGTAAACTACAGACAGTATTTATATATCATGATATTATTACCTATCTTTTAAAGACTTAACAAGTTAATTTGGGATTCTGTTAATCTCTGTAAATCTACGAACGTCAAACTCTTAATGAAATGCTATTTTAATAGGTCAATGCATTTGCATATTTAAGTATATAATCAAACTGTTGAGACTAATAGACATTTAACATTACTCTAGTGAACCTCTAAATCTAGACTGTTCACCCTGCGTAAACATTTTTTTTTCCACATAATTGTAATCATTTCTGTGTGTTGTGCGAATCATTTTTATCAAAGAAGTTCTGTGTGATAAGCAAATAAACAATAAATTTTAAGCATTATCATGTTTAATATTGTTTAACAAACATAAATATTGTTTGTTAAAGTTTTCCTTGTGGAAAAATTACTAGAGAAGTTTTTAAGGTAACTGCATACGATACTTTAATAAAATCCCCAGCGAAGTGCAAGCACTCTCAATAAATAGGTTTAAATCGTATGTAAAACAAAAATTGCTTGAAAAGGGTTATTATCATGTTAATCAATATTTAAATGATAAAAATGCTTGGGGTGTGGAGGAACCCGCTCTTACAAGGAAAAATATGTTGTGTACTAAAAGTAAATCAAGAATGTAAAATGAAACTTGGCGATAAAAGGAGTGACGGCGAGTTTATTGCCAGTTCTTCTCGTTCGTTCTACGCCCTTGATTTGAGAACTGGTAGTAAATGTAAAGTTAGATTCTATAATTATTTTGTGACGTTCATAAGTGTAAAGTTACCTAATGAATAAATGATTTTTGACTTTGACTTTTGACTTTTTAGAAGCAATAGTTTGTATATTGTCATTTTTCATATAAATGTGACTTTGATGTTTACAAAATGTCAAATATCAGCTGCCAAGCGATTGCGGAAAGGGAGGACGGTATTTGTTTATATCCCCTAAGTATATTTAAAGGCATTTATGGCGAAATTTCGCCAATTTATAAATGTTTCATACTGCCGCTATTATAGTGTACAACAGGCTAAGAAAAAGATACCAATAATATCATGTAAGAGACCGGAATTCAATCACTACGAGGGACAAACTTATGGAAAATTTGAGGTTATAAAACTAGCATCACAGGGTTGGTCGCACGTTAAATCCAAGAATGATTACTTCACTATCTTCGGAGACGCTCCAAGACAGGAAGAGGAGACGCTATTTCGCAAGAGTTTCCCGGAAATAGGTTTGACGGAGGAATTGTGTGATGTTGTTTCGCAGCTTGGTTATTCTTTACCTACCGTGATACAGGCAAAGTCATTTTTACCTATAATACAAGGGTATAACACAGCCATAACAGCTGAGACGGGCTGTGGTAAAACTTTAGCGTATCTTTTACCCATTATACAACACATTACGTCATGGAAACCACATATTCAGGAGGATTTTAATAGTCCATTAGCCGTCGTTTTAACACCTAGTAGAGAATTAGGTAATTATTGTGCATTTTAATTTTCATTTGACTGTTCTAAAAAGTTACTACTTTTCATTACTTTAGTAACAAATTGCTAATAGTTTTAAGTGTTGTTCAACTGCATGCTTCAATCAAATTAATCCAACATATAAAGACTATAGGCTCAAAAGTAATAAAATAGATATTTTGTTTAGCATCACAGCTAGCTGAAGTTGCACAAAGCTTGTCCGAGAACCTGAACATCAATGTTTCAACACTAATTGGAGGAAAAACAAAGAAAAAGATTATGGACCCGCCTGTAGAGTACACTGACTTAATGATTGCGACACTGGGTGCATTTAGTAAACTTGTTACAACTGGGATTATCAAACTGCATAATGTACATCATATCGTATTAGATGAGGCAGATACATTGCTTGATGATTCTTTTATTGATAAGCTTTCAGCATTGCTGAAGAAGTTTAGGGTGAGTTTGTTTAAACCTCTATGATATAATATGTCAAAATATATAAATAATTTTAATTACCTGTGGTCCTGCAAAGGAGGTAACAGTAATAAAGGGCCAATTTGGAGCAAAGTAGTAGTTTGCACCTTTTATAAAAACATCAAACGGTGTTATGGTTCAATTATTAAAGATGTTACATTACATTGTTTTAAGCATGAGAAATTATGAAATATTTTAGTTACTCTAGTTAGAGCATAAAAGTCTTAACTATCTTTCTAATTAAATAACTACTATGCATAACTATAATATTTTTGAAATATTTGTCATTTTTCATTAAAAATTCATGTTATCAACATATAAATATACAATAACTTTTTACAGATACATTACAAATGCGATATAAAAATTCCACCTGAAGGTTGTCAAATAACTCTAGTCAGTGCTACACTTCCCCATGAGTTACCGGAAACTGTCAGTGCCTTCATGGATCCTCAATCCTTACGGACAGTTACTACTGACAAAATACACAGGATCCTACCACACATTCCCCACAAGTAAGACAATAGTATAATCATTAGTCTTAGTTTAAGCGTTTGTCATTTTTTGTGAGAAATTTTCATGACTATACTATACTAAGATATAAAGCTGAAGAGTTTGTTTGTATGTGTGGACGCGCTAATCTCAGGAACTACTGGTTCGAATTGAAAAATTTTCATGTTGATTAGTGCATTTATCGAAGAAGGCTTATAGGCTATAAAACATTGCTTGCTGTGACTAATAGGAGCAAAGAAACAGGGGGTTTTGTGGAAAAAAAGAGGAAAATCATTCATCTTAAAGGGTTTCCTATCCATACACTGCGAAAACATTTCAAGAGACCCAAAAATATATAAAAGAATTATTCCTCTTTAAAAAATGTCCACGTCACCAAATGTCTATCTTTTAAGATTAACTTTCAAGAACGACGGCACGCAACCGACGTTGTGAGCAACAGCTTAAATTCATAAAGATAAGGTTTGCATAACTAATTTGGATGTTGATGAAGTCACTGACACAGATAGTAATATAATATAACTGCATTTTCAGATTTGTTCGCCTAGGTAAAGCACAGAAACCCGGTGAGCTCTTGAGATTGGTGCAAGCTGATTTAAATAAAAACCGTCAGGTCATGGTCTTTTCAAACAAAACATCCACCTGTGACTTTGTCTCCATGTTCCTTAACGAGAATAGTATCAAATGCCTCAACATGAATGGGCGGATGGCGGTCCCACTAAAAGCTGGGAATATAGACAAGTTTAAATCTGGAGAGGTTAAGGTTATCTCTAGCACAGATGTGACGTCACGCGGTATCGATACAAAGGGGGTGAGTTTACATAATACTTAAACTCATATTAAGAATGTATAATCATGGGTTGTTAATTTTCTTGTTCTGTTTTTTTTCTATATCTCTTATAATTTGTCCTTACATCGTAATTACCTCTTGATTTTAAAAAGATATCTACACTGTGTTGTAAAGTCAAAATATTTAATAAGTTAGAGAAAGTCTAAGTTTTCATGGCATTTGTTTCTAGTCTAACATAGAAATCAGTAATCACACTGAAAATATCTAAAATCTATTCTACAGCTTTTGTGAGATGTTGACAATTAAATTTTTGTTTAAGTGCCACATTTCAACATTAATTAAAACATTTTTAACGGTTTAAAACGTTAAAACTATACACAACTTTACAATAAAAATTTTCTGTTTTTTGTATATGGTTGATCACATCTATGTACATAGTGTAAGTGCATAGCTTAAAATTAAGTTTTTGTAATTACAACTGTATTCCCCAGGTAAGTCATATTATCAACTACGATTTTCCCTTGTACACGTCGGACTACATCCACCGTTGTGGCAGAACGGGTCGCATCGGTTCGCCCCAGGATTGCTTCGTCACCAACTTCATAGCGTGGCCCCGGGAAATCCACCTCGTGCAAAAGATAGAGGAAGCAGTGAGGAGAAACAAAGAACTACCAAACGTGAACGCAAATATAAGGCGACAGATTGTAGATAGAATTGTTAAAATGTCTGGTCTTCCATAAGCTGGAATAAATACATATAAGTTTACCTAGAAGAGCTGAACCCTTTTTTAATAATTTATTTAACTGATCATGAACCCTTTTCATAAATCTAATCTAGTTTTATGCAATCTAATGAGTATTAGTTGTGTTAGTAACAATTAACTCAAGCCGTATATTACTGTGTTAGATGTTTTTACCTAGAAGAGCTTATACAAATTGAATAAGTATTATTGAAAATATTTATGATACAAAAGCAATTACAACGCACAGTACTCTGTTGGTAGTGGGTTCGGGTCCTACCTGTGTTTTTGACGTTCTCAACATTATTCAAGGTTTTAAATATTTAAATTTCAACATCTTATTTTTTATTTAAATAAAAAAGCTTTTTAAGATAGATTGATTCGGTCATGTGTTATTGATCTAAAGTCCGTCCCATCTATCAAACGTAAATAAATACTACCGTTTTAGCAATTAAATTAAAACAGGGTTAATTTTTTTTTTATAAAACTGAAAATTTTTAATAAGGTATAAATGTTAGTTGCTTGCACACTCAAATGCCTGGACAGATTTTGACAAAGCAACCAATGCGGAAGTCGTAACAATGTTAAGTTGGTAAATATATCATTATTTTTAACTAGCAGTTTACTGTGCAGTCAGTTGTTTTTGTGAAACCACAACCTTGGTAAGGCGCTGACATTGAATAAGTCAGCTAAAGGTCACATATGCAAAATAAACGTTTACAAAAACAATTGAATCATTTGCAATAATATTTCTAGAACTACCTTGGAAGTTAGTGGATTCTGGTGATTATTAGGCTCCAGGGTAGAATCCCGGGTAAGGTAAGATGTTACTCTGTTGTTTAGAACGGGTGTAAGAAAACTTCTTGGGCCCCGTACTTCGAAGACAACACAAAGCCATCGGTCGCGGTTATCATTAGTAATATAGTGGCGGTAGTTGTAAAAAGCTGCACTGAAGGATCAAAGCTCCTAAACGCTCTCCTTCAAACAAGAGACCGTTTGCCCAGCAGTGGGGCATAAACAGGTTGTAAAATGAAACACAATTAGTCACATAGTTACAATATTCACACATTTCAAAATACAAGACAATAATATATTAAAATATTTCAGTGAGGTTTTCAAATTTGAACACTTCTATAAGACGCTAGTTGTATTAGATATTTTGTATAAATAGTTATTTCTACGTATACTAATTAGGTTCTATGATTAGTTGGTAACATCCTTTGGAACGATAAATATTTACAATATCTATAAATAATACATTTATGCTTTTTTCACTTGTATTCAAATACTCAATTGTTCTACGCACAGGAACGATTATATATTGTTCAATGTCAGTGAGAACATTGAATTCTTAGTATAATGATATTATCTACAACTTACATATCCAACATAGTATTGCTTTCAGATACACCATTATGTTTCCTATTTTTACATTCTTACCAAATATTTAGATGGTGAAAATAATTGCTCTCAAATTTATAGAAGGCGCTCTAAAATTGTGAATTGTATATTAAAAAAATATTATTTGTAATGTTCGAAAACTATATTTTTTATTACCAATTGGTGAAAGCCTACTTACATCTTAAAAAAAGAGCTAACATTAATTTCTGTTTTCTACTTATTTGGTGTTTTTCCCTTAATGTGTTTTCCTCTAAGAATAAAAGTATTACACAACTAAACATTAATCACATTTACATAAGATTAAGTATAATATATGATAATACTGGCTTTAAGTATATAGTTCTAATACTTCGTATTTTTGTGTACTAATCGTATCTTTAGATCTTTTAAAAAATATTGGGCCCCAAATTTTTCAAAATCGTTTGAACTATAAAGAAACATTAGTTATCACTGTTTATCTTCTGAAACTATTTCAGAAAAACACTTAAATCATTATTAGTTGTACATTTATGGTTTACCTCTTGAGGCTAACACAGCTCGAAGAAATATAATTTAACTGCCTTTCTTTTCAAACAATCATTATCTTCACTTACCATTTATAAACACACACAGCAAAGGATTTGGTATAAAGTAAAAATAACATGATTTTCACCCAAAAACTTCTTTTTACATACGTTTCTCTCAAGAAACGTATTTAACTATACTTTGTATCCGGATTTAATATATTGGCACCTTAACTCACAAATTCCTGCTCTAATGTCTCGAAGATGGGCCTGGTCGCGCATCTTCCTCCGACCTCCATCGGCTTTCCAAGCTCTTCTCTTGATTCCTAATAACATTTTGATGGCTGTGTCGTCTGTTCTCATCAAAGAGGTTATTCGTTACGTTGAACACGCTATCAGCGCTGGTCTTTCGTCGAGTATCTAACGTGGAAAGACTGGACGCGGTCGGTGATATTCTATGCGGGAATCGCGGAGAACCCTTGATTTTTTCGTATGAGCTTTGCGTTGGCTTATGGCTGCTTGGCAATACGAAGTTTACCCTCGTCTCAGGTTCCGCAACATACTTATTCCTTTCTGTGTAAGAACATGATGGTTCATCATCTGTTATCCGGATGATTGGACCACTGTGCGCGTACGATTCTCTTCGTAGTTTCAGTTCTGGGTTAGGCACGTTCAATGTATTACATGAGTGGACGATGGAATGCTTTCTTCCTGGGACTAGACCAGCGATCATGCCTACGTGCATTTTCAAAGCGGCAGCTATACTCTGGCCGGTGGGATCCGCTATCGACATGGTAGACGCCTTCCTGCTCGTGGGCCGACTGCCGAAGAAGCTCTTCAAACGTTTTAGAAGACCGTGGTTTTCTTCGCGTTTGAAACATAGGTTATATAGGTCCATTTGTTGAGATTTTCTGTAGTTGAGTTTTGGTTGCGAGCTGAAGCTAACGGAGTTTCGCCCGCGGCAGGCTTCTGCTGATGGCCAGCTGGCACGGGGGATGACAGGAGGTAGGACTGAGAGAAGCAGCATCGGCAGACCTCCACTAATACTTGGTGTGCGTTTGTCTTTGTGGCCTTCTTCCTCAACGGTGTTCAACTCGCTCTGAAGAGGGCAGTTACTTTATATATGACGTTTGACAAACTAGCATGCAACGAATCTAGTTATGTCACACAAACCGATGCATGTCATTCTACTTTTATTTGTAACGAATGAAAATATATTGCATACGTTATGCACACACTAAAACACGTGTGTAATAGATGTTGTGGTCACTGCCTAATGTAATTGTGTTCAGTGGTTATGACATTGCTATAAAATTTAGAAGTGCGAAAGGTGTTTTGCATCAAGTGCAGTATAAACATTTTTAGGCTAGGAAATAATAATAGCTAGACTAAAATACATCTAAAGGCACGCGTTTTATTACTTAATGACCTTTCGTGTGAGACGTTTTGCTTGTTCTTAGTAGCCGATGTCCTAATGAATTGAAAATCATTTAGAATATTGTACGAATTTTAAAAATAAATATTTCACCCTATATATATAGTCGTGATGAGAAGATGTTATTAATAACAATGATAACTTACTCGTTTATGTGTATCCAATGGTTCTGCCAGTAATTTCTCAAGCCTACCGATCTCTTTGTCGAGAGCTGCAACTTCTCTCTTATAAACCTTATTCTGAATCTCAATACGAAAATGTAACTCTTGCGTCTCGTCTGTGACGAATCTTCTGGTTTTGCACTCGAGACGAAGCCCCAAGCTTTGTATGACCGGGTCTTCTTCTGCTGGAATTAGTTTGATAGATTTCTTTAACAGAATAAATAAAAGCTTTAATCCTACACATTACTGCGAGTTTTACTTTTATGCGATTTATGGCATGTGTAACTTCTAATGTCCTTTACTTCCCAAATAAGAAATAATTACTATCTCATTCAACGATTTCCCTACGTAGGGCATACAGCAAAAATGTTACGGTGAAATCTTTGCTTATTACACTGTGTTAAAGTTGTGAATGCGTTGATTATATAAGATGTTAATACAATACTGTAACGTACAAGGTTCGCAGAGTGATTTCTTTCTTGAGACCCCGTCGATTAATTAATAATAGTTTACATCGATTATATGAAGATGGCGCTGTCCGCAACAACAAGAACAATAATAGTTTCCAACGATTACACGAAGATGGTGCTGTCCGCAACGCTGATATATTTATTTTTCTCTAGGAAAGTCATACACTTAATTAATCTTTCTAACTACCAAATCTTTGGAAATTTCTTCTCATACAACGTGTGTAATGTATCTGTAATGTTTATTCTATTTTTAGTAGTGTCTCCTGTGCCCTCATCATCACGTATTTTTTATTCCTTACCTTTCTGTCTAATAGCGATGATTTTCGGCAGGAACAATAGACACAGCGTAGATGTAGTTGCAATGAGGATGAGGCTTGTAATCGTGATATAGGCTAGAGTAGCTCTCTCAGAAATGATGGACCCGATCACAACTACGCTCGCGCTGGTGATGACCACAGAGTATACACTGATGCCGATGTACTTGGAGTCGTTGAGAGCTGTTATCTTGACGTGGCGAGTCTCCCACGCCATGTAGACGGCGACTAAGAGAAGCAGACCCTTATAAGCGTAGAGGACGCAGAGCCAGCCGAATGTGTTGTGAGATTTGCAGATCTCTATCTGAAATTGATAAATATCTATATCAACACTCCCATGGTGTGGGCTTCGAGATTATTTTTAATATTTTTTAAAATCTTTAACTTGATATGATTGAGCAAACATTTAAATAAAACACTTTTAACGGTTTAAACCGCGATATATATATCCCCGGGGAGACTGGTAGACCACAGATGCTGCAATTGTAGTATGTTAATATTGTAACATTGTAGTATGCTAATAAGAGCTAGAAGCAAACCTGCGGTTGATAAACGACGCTTCTGTCTGTGGTGCTTATTTCGATAGTGAGGTTCTTCAAATGTCTCTCCATGGGGTCCAGAGTAGCCCACAGCGTTACCAGAAGACCATCTATCACCAATAAAGCGCAGACTAGAGAAATCAACGGCGTGTCTTGTAGGAGTTTTGTCTTACACATACCGCTACGGTTACTGAAATTATAAAAGGGAAATAAGTAAATGTTTTTCTTAATTAAAAAAAAACAATAATCTAATAATTTTATTAAATACATATAAAGATTGAGATATGACGGTGTGTATAACAAAAAAAACAAATTGTATGATTAATTGCTGTTATTCATTGGGTAGAAGTGATCACATCGTGTCTTCCTGGTATTCGAAACTGGTATATCCTGCACTAGCTATTGTAGGACAAGGTGGTGCAGTGCTGCAGTAAAAAAACCTTTAGAAGAACTTCAAAACTTTAAGATTTTTAATAATGAGGAAAATAGAAATACGCAATTAATTTAGGCGAAAAATATATATAATTTGTCTTATTATTTGTGTACGAATTACGTGAGCAATTTTCGGTCACTGTGCTCTTGTAGATTATCATTAGACTATAATATATGTCAAGTCATAAAATTGCAGTTAGCTCTGCATCTGGCGGCCTGGTGCTTGTTCTTAAGGGGGTAAGGGCCTGGTTGTTGCTTTATGTATCATGCTCCTTATGCACCTAGCCACGCTACTGTTCTCACATTTCACATTTTAAGGTAATCATTGAAAAGTAAATTGAAAATCTTTGTAAAGAAAATAACAGCAGCTTATATCTTATACTAAACACAAATGTAATGTAAATGTTGTATCTTACCTTATAAAAATTCTATGGACCCTGTAAGTTTTCGCAAACATGGAGCCGAACGCTAATGAGAATCCCGCAGACAAGATGTACACTCTACTCTGCAAGTGAGTCTTATATTAGATGTAAATTGGTAGTAACATATTAATTGCATAACTGGGATGTATAGCTATCAACAGGTGGGTTCGAACGCCATCGCGGCCAACATTTTTCTAATCAATTCATAATTTTCTGAAACATGTTGGACTTCGGCTGGAAACCTCGATTAATGATGATTTTCATGATTTTCACGACCCACTTAATAGTGGGTCGTGAAAATCATCCACCACCATCCACAGATGAAAAGCCGTGAAGTTTAATCACGTTTCGGTTTCAGTCAGTGGATTTCCGATAATAATAAGTCGACAGCGCATCGTGGTTAGATGCTATAGGCTGGGGTATTCCACCATCACTCTATCATTCAAAAAATATAGACTCATTGTCATTTTAATAGTTTTAAAATTAAATGTGTTACGATTATTTTACATAAAAATGTTTCTGCTATAAATACTTACAGTACACATAGCGGAGAACGGTATGTACGCTGGCAGAACAGCATTATCCACGCCGAGAAGAGCAACGGCCGTGTACACCAGAACGCAGCCAATCAGTGTCATGTTGTTCAAACGAGGCGATGAGAGCTTTATAGACCTGTTTTTCATTACGACAATAATTTTATTGCCTTGTGTTATTATTTATTATTGTATTGTTAATATGTCCAACAAAATATCTTATACAAAAAAGAAACCAAATAAATATCGTATATAACATTAGATACTAGCTCTCGCCGGCAATTTTATTTCAATAAAACTCATATAACGGATTAAAACGTGACAGATACTAGTCAACTAATTTACAATTGATTTTGAGAGAACTCAATATTCCGGATGGTTTGCGGCAGTCGGGCCGTAGTTAAAATTAAAACTGAAATTAACTAATATATTTCTCGTCATAAACCGTTACAAATGATTTATTCAAATATGTAGGTTCTACTGGCTTTGCGTTAAGTACGAGAAGTCCTGATTTCAAACCCCGAAAAACAATACATCGGTTTGTTACAGATTTATGATCAACTACTTGTCTGTAAATAAAACCGATGAGTGAAACGGTTTTTATGTAAGTATGTATATTACTATTATATACTTGAAAACATTAATATTTTTTACATGTTATTGCACATGAAGGCACTATATAATTTAAAAATCGAAAATAAATTGAAAAAAAATTTCGACTCGGGCAGGACTTGAACCGGCATCGTCAGCTTTCCGTGCTGTTGCTCTGCTCAGAGAGATTTTTAAATTTATATACTTACTACTACTTCTTCCATAGCCATTGTACAGTGAAGTCAAAACTAAGAATAAAAACATTGCTAGTCTATATATTTGCTTACAGAAGCTTAAACTGTAGAACTGACAAATACACGCCTTTTTTAACGACTGGTTTAGTTCGTATACATTGAAAATCCTTACCTTCGCTTGCTATAATGTAAGTTAAAAGCTAGAAAGCCCAGAGCTAAAGCGACCCCGGCTGCTGACAGCGCGGTGACGGCAAGTCTCGCGGGCGCCCAGACGGAGTCAACACGCAGTACCATCACCCGTCTAGCAGCAGGAATCCCGCCCGCCCAACTGGGCTTCGCGCATTCGGGGCAACTCATTTCCTTTCCGTGGGTATATAGGGCCACTGTTTTTGGACGGCCACCTGTTAAGAGCAACTTTATAATAACGAAATTAAGACAGATATTTCAACATTACGAGTATAAGGTAAAGACGACGTGAAGGTAAGTTAATATTTTTTTCTTGTTTTATCACGCAAAATGTATATAGAAAGTGATTTTTTTTTTGTTACAAAGCTTTGAAAAATAAAAAGCACTTAATATAATTTAACATAATGTCGGCCTATTTTGGTTGTGGATTTTCGGAAAAGTACAGACAGAAACCGAAATGTGACTAAAATTCACGTTCTTCGATATTTCTACCACCCGTTTAACGTCCAGATTACCACATGAAGTTCGACTTGTTGAACCCAGTAAGGATCGACAAGGTACAGGCACGAGGTCGTCGCACAAGTACTTTTCGATCGAAATAAGCAAATCTTTACTTTTCCTATTTATAATTAGTACCTTAGTATAAATTTAGTTTTTACCTTGAATTTGATAAAATGCTGACATTCCTATCCTATCAGCTCCGTTAAATGAAACCGGGCCCTGAAAATATAATAATAAAAAAAACTCTATTCTCACTTGGGTGAAGTTGCAAAAAAAATAATAAAAAGGAAGACAATTAGAACCATTATTTTAGTACAAAATTCGTCAATTCCCGCCATCCTGAACTTACGCATAGCAAAAGTCTCTACGGTATGTCACGTTGACAATATGTCAAGTCATTAGACAGATCATAGTGACTTGACTTGACATATAGTGTTTCGGACTGTTATTGCACATCAACTTTTTTTAAATTATTATTATTATTAATTCTTGACTTATTTGCATCAAGTAAGTCATCAAACGTCGCCTACGCAGGTGTCCTACACTATGACCCAGAATAATGACTTCGAATACTTGCTGCGCTGATGGTTTGCGACTCCGTCATATATATATAAACTAAACTGTGGAATTCTTAATTTATATAAACTTTTTTTTCTTCTTTCCTTATCCGGTTATCTATATTTTAAGATATGGTGAGAGGAACCCCAAACTCCGGAACGCTGGTGAGATTTTATATTGTCTGTAGTTAGAGCAATACATTTAAATAAAACACTTAACGGTTTAAAACGCGAAATGTATTACGTGAACACAGCTGGTACAAAGCATCCGTAACGTTGGGCTGTAGTTAAAATATATTTGTAAATAAGTTAACGACTATACGTCGCATTTTAAGCCCTGTTTTTATTAAATGTTAAGTTTTAGGTGTATTTAAAAATATCAACGGATCAGATATAATTTGTTTTTATGCTGCGAAATTAGAGTTGACTGAATCGAAACCGGCCGAAAAATAAAAATGAATAACCCATATTTTCAAATTATATGTTATCCTGTATTGGATTTGTTTGTTCAACTAAGAAATAGCGCCGCCACATTTGCGTTTAAGAAGGTAAAGATAGGTGAAATCTCATTAAGAGTGTCATTAAATCCTATTCCGTTAGAGCAAATACACTTCTAGTGGCGTTTTGGGTAATGAAATCGTGAATCGTAGCAAATTAATGTTTTTCTTCTCTACTAACTTTCTTATTACGTGTGGAATAATATGTGCTTATATATTATAGTACATAAATGATAACACACAGTACGAGAAAAAAATGTTTTAAATAAAAAATTGCACGGACGGAATTTGAATCTGGGACAAGGCATGCTTGTGACAGCATCCGTTCAGTGCGCGAGTGTTTTTTTTATGTTGAATAGTTGATTACAAATTTATATCTTAGTTTCTGATATTTATTTTAAACATTTTTATGTGATTTTACAAGTTAGTAAATTACTTATTATTATTATCTATTTGAACTTGTCATCTTTATAATAAACAAAATAATTAGTAACCTTTTAGGGTACTGTTAACATTTTTACTTAAGACAGTCTATAATATCATATAAATGTATTAAAAAGATAGAGACGAAAAAATAAATTAAGTAATGAGTATCGCCTGTAGTTTACGCGAGTAATAGTTAAAAGTTTAAAACGCGGAATATATATTGTTTACTTATTTTTAATTAAACTTCGACCCAACGTAGCGCCAGCGTAGCAGATTGACTTAACATTAGGGACACCATCGGTTTTCACTCCCCCCGTAACCTCAAATGCTACGAAACCCATACGTTGGGCTCTACTTAAAAAAAAAAAAAAAAAAAAAAAAAAAAAAAAAAAAAAAAAAAAAAAAAAAAAAAAAAAAAAAAAAAAAAAAAAAAAAAAAAAAAAAAAAAAAAAAAAAAAAAAAAAAAAAAAAAAAAAAAAAAAAAAAAAAAAAATTGTGTTTTTTTTTAAAAAAAAAATTTTTTAAATTTTTTTTTTAAAAGTTTTTTAAAAAGGATTTTTTCCCCTTTTAAAAATTTTTAAAATATTTTTTAAAAAATTAATTTATTTAAATTCCTTAAAAAGATGTAAGCTCAAAATAAGCCGACAGCGCATCTTGCTTAGATGTTATTTGGCTTGTGTATTTCACTTACCAAGTGAATCTCGCACTTGCCTCTATCATAAAAAAGCTAATAAGCCTTGTTATACATTTTTCCATTTCCAATTCTGAAAATGACATTTAAAACGAACAATTGCGTTATACCGTTGGAAATGGCGTGTGTTCACGACAAAATTTCTCGCGAGATTTTCCAGAGCGAAGACGTGTCGTGAATAATACACGACAAAAGTGGTTCGGATATTACTGAATCGTATTCTGCGAGCTTCGCGATGCGGTCTGGACTGAATCCGTTGCCACTTGTAAATAAGGGATACATCCTTCGTACAACTCTTGCGTTTAATTAAAATCTCTGCGCTAGTTCCCTTCATGTGAAGTAGCTTTTACGAGCAGTATTGTTCTCTTGTACTAAATCTAAAAACGCGAAATATATTTTGGGTTGTTCAATCTGTTATAACATATTATTATAGTCATTTAAATAAATTTTGTGGTTTTTCTCATTAAACAATTATTGTATTAGTATGACTTAATATTAATATGACCTAAATGCAACGACGTTCTAGGTTATAGATTTTTTGGCAATCAAGTATATGTCATGTAAGTTTGATTTTATGGCAAACACGGTTCCCTTGATGAAAGGTGATATACCCCAGCCATATAACATCGCAATGAGATGTGATGTAATGTGGATTTAGATATTCGGAAATTCACAGGCTGAAACTGAAATGCGAATAAACTTCACGGATTTCCATCTGTGGAGGGTGCTACGTGGCCGGGACGGAATTTTTATATAAATATTTACATTTTCAGGCGTAGTCCAACATGTTTCAGAAAGATTATAAATTTTTTAGAAACGTATTTGGGGTATTCAACCCACGACTTGAGACCAATAAACCCGTCAAATTAGATAAATTGTAATTCGTCTTCTACAAGAAAGTATATTGAATCTAGTCTGGTGGTTTTCTCTGAGTTAATTAGGAGCGATAAACTAAGAAAGGGGAGAATTATTTATAGTGGAAGTCTTGGAATTATTCAAAACTCTAATTAGACAGACAGAACTCTGTAGGAACACAGAACTATATAAAATTGTATTTATTATTCATCTTTATATATTTAAGCTACCCACGCCGTCGGCCGTGTCCCGTCATTCTTGAAAGTTAATCTTAAAAGATAGTCATGCTGTCGCGGACATTTGCAAGGATAATTTAAAGAGGTATTATTCTCTTATATTTTTGAGTATTTTGAACCATTTTCGCAACGTACGCAACGGAAGCCCACAAAGATAAATACTTTCCCCGTTTTCTCTACATTTACCCTTTTTTTCGCTTCTATTAGTCGCAGCGTAATACGTTATAGCCTATCCTCTATAAATGCTCTAACAGACACAAAATTCAAATTCTTCATTCAAACCAGTAGTTCTTGAGATTGGTCCGTTTAAACAAACTCTTTAACCTTATGTATTAGTATAGAGATGTATTTAACTGTACGTACCGACACACCAAGAAAACTTAAATTCCCCAGCTGATTAAGGAACTCCTCAGCCATGTCCTTCCTGTCATAGTCGAAGTGGCCCAATCCGAGGGTTTTCGTGATGTTATCGTCGGAGTTACGCCACAGCTGTTCCGCTCTGCTGAGCGCGAGGGCTATGGCCCAAACTGCGTCGTATGCGTGTGGGGCGAAGGGTGATATTGGCACACCAGCCGCTGACATCTCGTGGTGGAACATTTCGTTGGTCTGTAAGTTATAAACCTGCCTCTAATCGTTGTCTCGAGGGATATAAAGGTGAAATGGTGAATTAGAAGAACATTCTATTTCACAGTTTTTGTTGACAGTTCGAGGTACAATTTTGTAAAAGCATTTTTTGTCATGGTAGCCTAACACCTGAACAAAATTGTCTGTTGACCTAATCTTGACTGTCGATATTCGGAACAATCTGAAATATATTCAGCAAATTATGTATTAAAGAGAAATCATAAGAAGATCCCATTATTTCTTTTCATACTTTTGTTTAGTCCCATTTGGGATAAGTAATTCGTTCCGAGACTTCGTTAATTAATTAATCGATTCATTAACAATTCTAAAAACGGAAAATCTTTAGAGATTCGACTGTAGGTACTTGGAGTTAGTAGTATCCTAAACAATATCTTTTATACCCAGATAAAGAAGAAACCTATCTTGTTCTAATTTTAGTTGGGCTTGGGCCGTGTCTTGGATTTTCACTATAAACATTGAAAGTTACGCATAAAAAAAAATTAATGACACAGAAAGAGAGATGAATATGGGGTATAATTAAATAAACAAAACCACCTTTCTTGATCATTGAAAAATAACATCTATTAATTATTATACTTATGATGGTGTTTTCACTATTTATTTAAAATTATCTATCAGCATAATTTTATTAGATAAATACCAGGCCAGAAAAAGACGCCACGTCACCGACGATTCCTCTATGCGCAGTCACGGATACCATGCCCTCCAAAGCCCGGGCCAGCTGCGATCGGGAGCAGGGTGCTGCGCCCCTAACTCGGGGCGGCGCTCCCGCTACGAGCCAGGCGTACTCCGCACCAAACATCCCAAGCCGAAATGCCTGTCAATAAAAAAATTACTAGTGTTATATAAAACACTTTAACGGTTTAAAACGCGAAAAGTATTAATTGAACTTATTTACACATTTTTGTAACTTCCGTAGTTTCGAATGCAGCCGTGGTCACGGGAAGATGGCTTTTATATTTCGTGTTTTAAGCCGTTTAAAATGTTTATAACTACAGAGACTTTTAAAAATGACAACATGTATAGTATTATAGATTCAAATAAACGTAAGTACAAAATAGCTTAGCTTTTATTAACAGACAGGTGTCGAACCTGTATCTTATGACTATAAGAATAAAAAAAGGCCAGAACTTGCTTATTTAATTTTTTGTTACTTCAAAAGCTTAAGCGCTTAATACTTTAGGATTAATGGATAATAATTTACTAATTATTTGTTAAAATATTTTCAATTGCTCCTATCTATATATTGTTAAAAATCTATAGATATTTTAATAAACATTTGTGATTTTCCTTCGTTAACTCATTCCTCATTAAAATCACGATACATATGTTTGACCTATATTTGGAATAAACGAATAATTACAATGCACTCTGAATTCGCTTGGCTATCAGAAGTATTTGTAGCGACCGGAGCGTGCGAGATATCGTTATTGTATGTTAGCGAATGTTAAAACTTATGGATGAAAATTTCACATTCGACTCTAAATTTATAATTCATTTAGGATTCGTTTTTATTTGTAGTACTTTAAGACATGCGGGTGGTGTTTCATGTACATTTAGAATGTTCCAGATCACGACCCGATGGAAATCGAACCCAAGACTCATTAATAATTAGTCATAGATTGTTAAAATTACATACAATACAAGAAGTATGACTTCTAGAGCGTCACTTTAGGTCTACAATTATATAATTTAAATACTGTCTATAGTTTACGCGAGTAGTACACATTTAAATAAAACACTTTAACGGTTTAAAACTCGATATATTAGTTAAACTTATTTGGAAATGATTTTTATATAATTTAAGCCACTTCTCCGGGAAAATTCCGATTTACGGAGGCTAAGTATTTCAATTGGGCCATTTTCTATTCCTTTTTATTAACACTTCTGACGCCGCAGAAACTAATTTTAAAATCTTTTATGTCTGTAATTTGACGTTAACTCAACAGCGTGTTCTGCAAGTATTCGTCGTTAAGTGTGCTAATTACCTGTTTATTTTTATTTTACTCCTAAATAGCTGTATGGATTTTGATAAAGTATAACAGCAAAATACATAGTTGACAGTCTGGAGTATAACGCAACTACCTTTTATCATTCTATGCAAATTACTTTCTAGTGCAAAAATATTTAAACACCATATAACGGTTTCACGGCCTCCTTGGTGGCCAAGCATAATCAACGGGTCGAATGTTCGATCTCCACGGAGTGCAACATTTATCTAATTAATTTATATTTTTTCTGAAATTCCGTGCGAACCACCACACGCAAAAAAGCCATGAAGTTTATAGCCTTTCGGTCCTAAAGTTATTTAATGTAATTAACTAATATTTCTATGATAAGATAAAAAAAATTCATATCTTTTATGTATTGAGATTATGCAGTATTTTAGTCTTCTGTTAGAATTTAGTATCACACTTTTAATATTAATAAAAGCACGAAGCCATCACGATATACAAGATTGACAAGTTACCATAGTACAGAAAGAGAAAGAGACAATGTAGACATACATACTAAATACAGTGTAGATGTTAAAAATTACAGATACATAATGTAACACTTTATAAATATATTTACTCAATATTAGGTATAAATACATTTTATATATTATATTTATTTTGATGGGTTTTTATTATTATTAATTTAAATTTATTTTGTTTAGTTTAAGTTATATTAAGTAATTGGTAAGTTTCGCACTTCTTGCACACTGTATAGTTTTTAATTAATCGTTAAATCTCTTTCTACTCGGGTTGCCTGGAAGAGATGGCTTTTATCGATAAGGCCGCCCGGTACACTCTATAGTTTTAAATTGCATAGTATCTGTATGCTCTGTTTTGGTGTACCTAAGTGTGAAATAAATAGTTTTTTTTAAGTACCACGTAAGTATAAATTTACCTTCTTAGTCATTCTTTGCAATATCTAAACTACACTTTAAACTTCCATAAATAGGTGGCATAGCTAGCAACACTTTACAAGCACTACAGGCTACTGACGACGAGCTTTTGTTAGTTATAACAAAAGATCATTGTTTATAAGAACTCTCTAGATGCTAACTAAGATCACTCGGAGTTTCTCTTAGACAAACTAACTGAGGTCTAACATAGTATTGAGCTATAAGAAATATTATAAAGTTTGCTTGTTTGAGCGCGTCAATCACAGAAACTACTGATTTGTGTTAGAGCATCTATCGAAAAAGGTTTTAGGCTAAAAAGCAATAGGATGCGACCAATAGGAGCGAAGGAACAATGGGAAATGTGGAAAAAACGTCAAAATTATTTATGTTTAAAGGTTTTCGTTGCGAGCGCATTAAAAAATTTCTTCAAAAGTCCGCGCTAATATATATCTTTAAAGGTTACCAACTTACTCAAGAACCCTTTTTACAGCAATAAATTTTCGTCGAACACTGAAGGCAAAAGAACTTTTGCCAATTCAGTAAGTTGTTGATAATGGCTGATTTTATATATTTTTTACACTATTTAAAATATGAGAGATATTGTAATGTATGTACCATAGGCGTGCGAGTTGCTTAAAGAGGACATTATTATGGACGGAATTAAACGGACAATTGACATTAGAGACGTCTTCGGTCTTTAGGCACCCCGGTCCACGGCTGGTGCAAAGCATCCGTAATCAATTTGTTAATAAGTTAGTTAAAGTGCTCTATACAAAAATACTATGATATATGTGTCGAGGATGTATTTGTATTGAAAATAAAAATAGTTTGTTTTTTTTCTACTTGTTTGCGTTCTACATTTATGTAGCTGCGTCAGCGACTTCGCCCGCGTGGAATAGTTATTTTGCGTTAGTTCTTTGTAAATATACCACATCTTTATAAATGTAAGGTGTTACCCACGACATCGGTCGCGTCCCGTCGCTCGGGTCCCGTCGTTCTTGCAAGTTAATCTTAAAAGATAGACATATAGTGTCGTGGCCATTTTTTTTTCAGATTATTTAAAGAGGAATCATTCATCCATAAGAAACCCACAGAGATGAAAAATTTCCCCCATTTTGTTCACATTTCCCGCTGTGTCTTCGCTTCTGTTAGTCACAGTGTGATGTTTTATAGACTATTGCCTTCCTTGATAAATGTTCTGACTAACACAGAAATAATTTTCAATTCGAACCCGTAGTTCCTGAGATTAGCGCGTTTAAACAAACAAACTCTTCAGCTTTATATATTAGTATAGATTAAGACTACTTTATGTAGTACTGCACATATCGATTAGAAAAATCTGCAGATATACAGTACAAACCTCACAAAATATCTTCGGTATCATTTCCTCGGAAAAGCTGCCGATTATAATTCTCGTGTCCAGTTTCTGTAAAAAAACAAGTGCTTGTTAACGAACAGAAAAATATTTTAAAAATATGAATACTGACTATGCGAATGTGAATAAAAGTTTCTCCCTTACACATTTATGTGAGTAGAAACGTACCGTCAGCACGTTAATTACTTTTAATAATTCCTAAATCTATTGTTAGCTGTTCAATAGCTAGAAGAACATTTCAAAGCACGTTGCCCATATAATAAAAACGTTTATGTCGATTTTGTTGCTGACCCTACTTCTCTTTTCATTTACAGCTTAATTAAGATTGTAAAGGCTTACAGCGTTCAAGAAGTACGTAATGGGGCCAGTATTTGAGAAATAAAAATCATTTCTTTTCTAGATTTTATATGCTTTATTAAGATATATGTAAAGGTGTATTTACAATGGCAAAATAGTTCTTCAGCCTCATAACCTAACATATTTTAAGTAATTAATATGAGTCTTGATTTACATATTCAATACATGAAAAAGTATGCATTTAAAAATGTTTAAAATTATTAACATATTGAAATATCTATTCTAATATATAAAGTTGAAGAGTTTGTTTATTTCTTTGTTTGTATGCCTGAACGCTAATCTCAGAAACTACTGGTTTGTGTTGATTAGAGCATTTATCGAGGAAGGCTATAAAACATCGCGCCTAATAGCGTGACTAATAGGAGCGAAGAATCAGCGGGAAACGTGATAAAAACGGTTCACAATACCCAGCAAATATGTAAGAAATAATTATTCCTCTTTAAATGATCTAAAAAAAGTCCGCGACAGTATATGTCTATCTTTTAAGATTAACTTGCAAGGACGACGTGACGCGGATGAAGTCGTTCGTAAAATCTTAAATTTATAGTTGTGCAGTTGAGCAAGAGATTTGCAAAAACAAACTTGATGCCCAATCTAACTTTTCTACGTGGACGAAGTCCACGTAAGGTATCGTTTGCAGTTTACGCGAGTAGTACACATTTAATTATAACACTTTTAACGGTTTAAAACGCAAAATATATTAGGTATCTAATATTTAATGTATTTAAGTACTGCCCGACAATGGTAATAAAAAAAAATATCAAATATATTTCGCTTAAACTATTAGAATTGTTTTATTTAACTATTATGATTTTATCATTGAGATAAAAGAGAACGCATGTTTATATTTATTATTAAATTTGGGTACATTTCAAGAGCTTACAAATAATGTGTATTATGTCTTCCTAGAATTAGGATATCATTTTAAACAAAGGTAAGGTAAGGTTTAAATAATAAAGGTTTAACAAGATGCACTTTTAAGCAATTTTGACTTTGAAAATTCAGAAATCTATAGACTGAAATCGAAATGATCGTGACCTGTGTGGTACTGGTAAATATCTACCGCCCATTTTCAGATTTTCCACTTAGAGCTTCTCAAAGAAGAATTCGGACGAGTCAAAATATGATATATGCCCATTACAAAAGTAATTCAAGCTTAAAACATAATTTATCCCCTAAATGCCTTCTGTAATCCAATTAAAGAGGGCTATTAAAACTTCGAGGTGAAAATAGATTGATGAAGCGAGGCAAGTCAGTCATGCCGAAGCGAAACTGTGGAACCTAATTATTTTTAATTACACTTGACTGACAGGTCAGTTTTGTGAACTTTGATCGTAGTTAATCTCGTTTTTGTAGGATTTAGGGGAACATCGTTTTTAACTCGTGGGTGTATTATATCCGACGGAGAGTCCGTCCGTTCTTTAAAAGTAGCTGACGTCACAATTATTGCTGTTCTGTTCATTCATGTCATTCTTGGAAATTTTGCACAATGCTTGGTATTTAAAGGAAACGCGTAACGATTGAAGAGATTTAGGCAGTTTTCATCAGCACAATACATGTAACCATGACGATGTAAGTGTACCAACAAGAAGGTTCCATAAAAGTAGTAATTATTTTCAAATATTTCAAAAACAATAAATAAGTTTAAATATAATGTAAAGCAAAAACTTCTTGGAAAGAGTTATTATAACTACATCGATATTTAAGCGATGAATATGCTTGGTGTTGAGTGGAACCCGCTCTAAAAAGAAAAACTATGTAGTGCACTAATACTACTACGAGAAGACTGTAACTTGGTGATAAGAGGCCGAGCTTATTTCCGCTTCTCCTCGTTCGTTCTACACCCTTTATTTGAGAACTGTTAGTAAATGTAAAAGAGTCTTTAGTATTTGACTGATATGACGTTCAAAACTGACATTTGATTTTTAGTTTTATAAATAATTATATACTAAGTTGGATTGGCGCAGTCTTACACTGGTCTAGGAAAGTTTAAAAATTCTCGGTTTGAGTCCTGACTGATAACTTTAATTGTTTTTTATATAACACTTTTAGCCTCTTAAATATCAAATATATATATTGTAGTAGTTTATCTCGCATTGAATCTTTACGTACTTTTAATTGTTGCAATTGTTCTTTAAAATCCGACTCAGCGAAGGTGATGGAGGCCGCGCAGGTGATGTTGGCCGCTTCAAGTTGTGTCACCAGCTCGTTCACCGCCAGTGAGTAGATCTCCTCATTTTGAGAGAATGCAGTTACTGTATCCCAGCCGAATTGTCTGTAAGAAGAAACTTATCTGACGTAAAAAAACTTTTGGGGCCCTTTAAAGATACTTAACTCAATGTAGCTGCAGTGTATGTTTGTGCAAGATATTTCGCAAATTAAAAGTTGATAATAATACATTACACTAGTGCATATTTGTAAATAGTCTTAAAAGTTAAAAGTTAGATAGTTAGATATTCGAAAGGAAGTATTACTTAGTTCAGCATTTTATTCATGTGTTAAGTGATATTATTAATAAATAATAACTTAACTTTTATTGTATAAAGATTTTTACAGTTTTTTATATTTTTTGGGGAACTAATCTCGTGAGATAGATTTCTTACAATATATTAAAACATACATCGTTCACAATACATCCTTATTGTAAATTACCTTATAAAAGCAATCCTCGCTGGATTATGCGAAGAATCTGGGGCTACGGTTCTGCAGAAGAGAGGAAATTCAGACCTATCACTTAGCGCTGGCGATGTGGATCCGAATGAAACCTAAAATTAATAATGATAAGCACAGAGTTCCAGAGTTTCAAAAAAGTAAAAGTAATTTTTGAGCGTTTCACGAACACGTCTACGAAGTAGCTACGCCGTAGACGCCTACGGATTTGATCGACGTTTCTTAATTTAAACTCAATGACTAACTTATCAATATTCTTATTTAAGGACAACAATATATTTTTATGAAAAAAAAAAATAATGGAAGATAAAACAATCCAGCACTGGTTTTCGAAAGTGTGTCTCGAGAGATACCTCACATAACTTAAAACCAAGCTATCTAGGACAAGAATATCTACCAAGTTTAATTGGAATTTATTTAATACTTTAGTGTAAAAATACTCTCAATTTTGATTAATTGACTACTTAATTTATTAATTAACTAAACTTTTTTGTTGGGATAAAAATAGGTGGACTGTGTATCTTGTTGTTGATGTTGTTACATGGCGAAGGCATTTTCACCTTCGTTCTTCTATTATAAAAAACGTAGGAAATCTTTGATTGTAAATCAATCACGTGTACCAGCCCCTACAGTGCACATGCTATATAGGCTTGATTGACGCAGAACACTAATGCTTCGTTAGACAAGGATTTGTTGCGCTTCGCTTCCGTAGGCCGGAACGCTTTGAGTACAAATTGGATCACAATTCGGACCCGCTCAATCAAGTTAGCGTCATGGCACAATACGTTAATTAAGGCTCGATAAAATAAGGCTCGATGACGTCCGGCAAGAAGCAATCGAGTTGACATGTAAATAACACACTTTAAAGGTTTAAAACGCGACATATATCAGTTAAAACTTATTTACAAAAGATATTTTAACTTCGAATACATACGCGTTAGCGTATTTTTATACTTTGTATTTCCTTTCCCACCGTGACCATGGCTGCTGAAAGACATCCGAAACGTCGGGCCGTAGTTAAGATAAATTGAAAATAAGTAAACTAATACATTTCGCGTTTTGAAACTGTCTATAGTTTGCGTGAGTAGTACACATTTAAATAAAACGCTTTAACGGCTTAACTCCCTGTGACCACGGCTACTGCAAAGCATCCGAAACGTCGGGTCGAAGTTAAAAATTATTTTCAAATAAGTTTAACTAATAGATCTCGTATTTAAAGTGTTTTATTTAAACTATTAAAGTATGTTTTTTAAATTAGTATAACTCGAGTAAAATACAGATAATGTTTATCACAAACTCAAGCAGATTTTCTTTAAGACTTAGAGAAAATGTGGCTTGATAGTTATGTAACTGGAGGATGATAATGGATAGTCACTAGTGATTTAAGCGAAGTCTTTCTTGTTTATTATTACACCGGTATTGGAGTTTATTAGCTATAAACCAAGAAGAAAATATTGCTTATAAAACTTTCTAGAAAGAAATGTGTTTTTAAATATTTACGAAAAAATTAAGCATTGATTTGACACACGAAACACAGAATCTCTTAATCTATCTACCTATGTTAGATAGATCTAGATTAATTTATGATCCAAATGTCACTATAAAAATGTACAAGAACAAATATTTAAGGTAAAGCTCTCTTAATATTAAGGGCGCGTATAATTCACCCTTTTTCATGAAAATTATATCAATTTCAAAAATGTAACATGCGATGATGCATTTCTAGGTCGAAATGCATCATCGCATCATTTTGGCTTTGGACATTAGAAACTAGGCCAGTCTTAGTCTTCTGTTTTTAAATTGTATTTTTTTTTCTTTCTAAAGTTATACCCAGCCAAGGTCACTTTCATGTTTCGAATCACTTTGTGAATGCTTGAATTTTATTTGTATTTGATTTTATCTAATCCAACCTTTTCAGATTACTTTATTTTTAGATTATTAATTACTACTACAGTTATTAAAAAAAGCGAAACAACTCCTTTCGTTTTTAATAATGAGGCGAATATTTTAAGGAAATATTTTAGTTTGCTTTGATCTTTCAGACGAGTAGACAATGATTTCATACATTCTTAACTAGAACCGCGCACTTTCTAACTATACGCTCAAAGTTTTAATGATGAAGAATTTTCTACTGAACAAAAGGTCTTTCTTTCACTAATAGTTTCCCGCTCCAGTCAGAGTTTTTCAAACTTTAGGTACGTGTAACATAACTATGAAGTGACGCTAAATAACTTTGTCGTTCAGAAATCAAGATCAATTAGATTTAGTTCTATTATTAGTATTAAATGGATTGAATTGAATTTTTAAGAAACTATAATAAGTAAATTAACGTACTTTAACGGTTTAAAACTCGAAAAGTTAAACTTCTTTACAAACTGTTTTACATAGGCTGCTGCAAAGTACTTAAGCTTCGGGCCGTAGTTAAAATCATTTAAAAATAAGTTTAATTAATTTATTTCGTGTTTTTGAGCGTCAGTGTTTTATTTTTAGTGTTTTATTTAAATGTGTACGTAAACCAAAGTCAAGATATAACCATATATGTATTGAGTTTATAACTTTACTAACTCAGGACTAGTAGAATAGTTACTAAAATAAAAAAGTGTTTTGTTATAATAAAGATTGATGACTAGAAAAAACAAAATATTTCTCAGAAAACTAGGTTTTCTTAAACAGTAATTATCTTTTTAATAAAACTCTTGAAATAGCTGTAATTTTCATCATTTATCTCGAATCGAATCAACATAAGATCGTTTATCTCGCGAATTTTTAATAAGGAAGTGAGATGACAGGGGTTTGACATTTAACAGTTTGAAATTAAATTAGCTGCGTTTTGAAACAGAATTTACTAATAATGGCACCCATAGTCCAATATATAAACCTGTTGAAAAACTTAAATATTTTTTTACATGTTATTTTGCACATGATGGCACTATATAAATTAAAAATCGACTATAAATAAAAAAGAAATACAGCACTTATTCGCACCCCATCATTGTAATGGGGGGTGATACAATCCATATACAGTTTTTCAGTTGATAGTTACCTACCTGTACAATGTTCCAGTAAGGCACAATCTTGGCAATGCTCTCCGTAACTTCTGAGCATGCTGTGCCCAGAAGCATCACCATTCTGGACTCTCTTTCGGTGTAAAGTGCGTGAAAGAATCGGTCTACCCCAACGCCTGGGTCACACTGCAAACAAACATAGAATTACTTAAACAATCTTAATATCGACTATAAGGTGGATTTTGGGCCTTAATAGACGAATAGCAAAGTTTTGCTGAAAATCAGTGTTTTGCTGAAAATCGGTATTTTAGCTTAACTGTGCTGCAACTGTGTTTGTGTTGTTTAAGCTTACACAAGACTCTTTTGGTGACAGATTTCTTCTGGTTAACCATAATGTCTTGAACTATTTATTTTAATACATATATATATATATCTATTTTTTATTTCTCATACTCGTATGATTATTATAATTTTTATCTAAACTAGTTTGGATTCCAAATAAACTTTATTATTACTTATTCAGGCGTTATTATATTTATAGATTGCAATTGCACTGACTAGACGCGTGCGCAGCTGCTTACTTCCTAAGTCCTCGTACTAGACGGTCAACAAACATGACATTTAAATAGTTGGAACTTTCTTAAAACCAGAAACTCGATAAGTTAAATGTAGAGCCAAAATCTCGGCACTGATCACTTTTAGTTGTGATTACCCTAAATAAGACCGTGTTTTAGCCCAATTTGGTGTTTAGAAAAATAGACCATTTTTGGAAACAATTTACAAATGACTTATTTACTTCGACTTATTACGTGCATATCTAAATTTTTTTTATGATAGAGAATGTCAGACACGCACGGGGTTCACTCGATGGCAAGGGGTGGTTACTCAGCCTATAGGATCTAAATAAGATGAACTATCAACTTATTTCGACTTTGGACATTCGGAAAACCACAGACTGAAACCGAAACGTGATTAAACTTAACTGGTTTTTCATGTGTCGACGTTGGTTCGTGACCAGGACGGAATTTCGATCAAGTCCAACATGTTTCAGAAAAACTATATATTGATTAGAAAAGTGTTGTTTCCGGTGGGGGTCGAACCCAGGACCCGTTGCTTATTAGGCGTAAATTTCTACCATTACACCAATGAGCCCATGCGATGTAGGCACATGATGTTTACCTCAGAATTATTACTTTGTTTGTCTCGTGTGATAAAACATTACCTTAGTATCTTTAGTAAAGTAAGTTTAACTAATTAAACTTACTTTACTAAAGCCGGTTTAAAACCATATCGCGTTTTAAACCGTTAAAGTGTTTTATTTAAATGTGTACTACTCGCGTAAACTATAGACAGTATTTACCTTAGTATCGTTAGTGATAAGATGCAGCTTGTATCCAGGCAGCAACGTTCTCTGGTTGACGTGTGTAACGGCCAATTTAGCTGCAGCCAACTCCGATATTCCTTCAGCACGAGGAAAATCACCCACAGACAACTCGAAGAGGCCAAGGATCGACACTATTCGATTTACTGTATTCGTGTCTGTGAAAAATTAAATTATTGTAAGCGTAAATTGGAATGGAAAATAAGAGTCAATAATACAAGTATTTTTTTATTTCTAAGAGCCTTACCTAAATACATAACAAAAGCTTAAACTAAGAAAAGCCTTATATAAATACTGTCTGTAGTTTACCCGAGTATACATTTTAATAAAACACTTTCGAGGTACGCGAAATATATTAGTTAAACTTATCTGCAAATCATTTTTACTTGCATGCTGCAGAGCATTCGAGATGCGCGCCGTAGTTAAATAATTATAGATAGTAAGTTAGGCTTTAGGTAGGTTTTTCATATAACATCACGCGAGTACATAGGGGCAAAGAACAGATAAATATTGAAAAAAAACGGGGAAAATTCATCTTTAAAGGATTACATTGTCTGCGCCGCGATTCAAGGAACCGAAAAACTATGTATGAACGAATGCTTCTTTTAAAAGATGTCCGCATCAGTAATAACTTGAGTTATTACTGATAACTCAAGCTTGATAAGCAATACCTGTTAAGAATAACTCCAAAAAAACGATGCGTCTGGATGTGGACGTCGTGGGTAACAGCTAAAATAACATGATGGCTGAAACAACTATTCCACGCGGACGTTGCAGGCAAAGGTAATAAATAAATAAATATATTATTATTATTAAAACGTTATATTATTAAAAATAAAAGGGTTTCTGCAAATGCATATATAAAGTATTTTAACCAATATACAGCTTTCTAGGTACCGTAGCATAACCACATTAAAAGAGAAATTGAGGTTTTGCTCAATGTAATTAAATGCTATCATCAGTTGAATTAATTAATTGCTAGAACCAATCCAGATGACGCCTCTCGTAGTGAATATCTGCTCATTACAATACAGATAAGAATAATGACCTATATTGGAAATATATTTTAGGCATTATATACTTCTAGATAAGAGAAGCAATATCTGTTTCTGAGTCACAATTGTAGTATTTATAGGTCTTTTTTTAAGCTTTTAAGGGTGCTTTTCATCGTCACGAACCACTGTCCACAGATGAAAAATCTTTGGAGTTTCATAGTCTGTGGCTTTCCGAATATCCAAAGCTAAAATAGGCGGATAGCGCATCTTGTTGAGATGTCATAATATGGCCCGTCTGTCTTCCTCTGTCAAAAAAAGTCATAATTTTCCACAAGGCAAATTAAAGTTAATTGTAATAAAGTAAATTTGTTAAAAACACTTTCAGTAAGAAATACACATTTGAATAGAAAATCATTTTTAGCGTTATTTAAATAATCATAAAATTAATTGAAATAAGATTACGATTAGTAGAGTATCCTCAAGGTTGGGCCCAAAAGGAAAGCAATAAATAAAAATACTCATTTCTAGGATCAGTAGCAATAGGGACAATCGGCGGCAAACACATCGGCGATTGTTGGTTGGCAAAGGGCAAACTTGGTCGTCGTAATACATAAATAGTATTTGGTGGAACAGTTCGAAAACTCAACTCTTATAGAATTATTATTTTTATAATTTATCCCAACGGTGGGACACGTCAAGGATTAAACGGCATTAGCACCACTCCACTTAGCACTATAAAAAAGTTATGCCCCGGATATTTGAAAATTCGCCTTTTATTAGTTTCCGGGCTCGTAAATCCTTCGCATAAAAGATTTCATCTCAGACATTATAGGTCCCCTTAAAATGTTAATTTATTAAATGGAAATCTTTCCATTGTTTGGATTTTATTTCTTTATTCACAGAATTGGGTTATCGACTATCGAGATCCGAATTGACTGATTTAATTAAGCTGACGATATTTTTTATCGCTTTCGGAATTGGATTGATTTGAATGGGACTATTTTTAAACGCATTTGACTTTGCTGCATGTTTATGATATACAAAGGTGAACGAGGGAGATCACTTGATGGAACGTGAAACAGAATGTAAGATGATTTATGCGCTGTCCGCCTATTTCGGCTTTGCATGTGAAAATCAACAGACTGAAACCGAAACGTTTACATTTACATTCCTTGCTGCTTTTCTAATAAAGCCACCTCGTCCTACACGTCATCGTCGAATTTGTTCAAGAATACTTCTAAATAAATTTTTCATTTTATTAAATATAATGTATAATGAAATATATTTAAGTTTTCCAAGTCCTGCCCTGATAAAAATATGTTTCTTCGAGATTCGAACCTAGAACCTCTCGGGCATAACGCAAAGTTAGGCACCGCGTTTACCAGAGAATACTATGAACCGTACAATGTTCATAATATTAAGTAATGCGATAGTTGAGTTTGGTTGTAGTTAAGCAAAGTGCAACCTATTTGAGACTAGATCAAGTCAAGTCTAGTAAAGCATGCTAAATTGCTATTTGCGCAATTAGATCTAGTCTTAGATTGCATATGCAAGACGCACGAAGCATGGTACAATTATAAAGGGTGTATATATTGATTTTCGATGTTAAATCTTAAGCAAAAACCAAATCTAATTTAATTTTGATATAGGGTTGGTAGGATATACCCCAAACATATAACATTTAAACAAGATGCCCTGTCGACCTAAATTATATAGATACTCGGCATTTCGTAAAAGTAGAAAGTATTTTAATGCTGTGATCCAAATGACTTAGAAAATTATGCGAAGAATGCCAAATGACTTGGGTTTTGTTAAAAAATTTTTTTAAAAAAAAAAAAATTGAATTTAAAAAAAAAAAGCCTCGGCCATGTTTCTAAACAATTTTTCTCAAGCATACTAAATCGAAAACGTGGATTTTAAATGTATGGCAGTATTATCAAAATATCGTCCGGGTCAACGAACTACCGTCATGATGCCATAACAATGAAGTTTAAATCGCTCTTTGGTTTCATTCTGTGGATTTTCGATTATCCAAACTCCAAAGTCACATCGACAACACATCTTACTTAGATGTTATATTGCTGGGATATTATTAAAAAATATCTATAAACTTAACAAAATGTAATATTCTAAATTAACAAATTTTAATAATTAATACATAAACATAGTCAAATAAACGCGTCTGTATAGAATAATTTTCATTACAGAATATGCATACCCTAATTTTATTCTACCATAGCGTAATAGGATGAGGATGACGTTATCTGACACTGTTTGCGAAGTGACCTAAGGACATTAAGCAAGCGAGAGAGAAAACTGTTTACACAACAAAGATTTACTTTGACCAGCCTTCCAGAGATCTTTACAGCGTTCTTAGATAGTTATTCTGCTTTAAAGCTAAACACCCTTATTTAGGACAAGAAACACACTTTTATGTATTTGGGTTCTTTAACGAAGTTCACATTGAAATGTTATTTGTAGTTTACGCAAGTAGTACACATTTAAAGTAGTTAAAAATATATTGTATGTAAATTTACTAATAAAAATCGCGTTTTAAACAGTTAAACTTGTTTTATACAAAATTAATCTCATTATTTTTTTCGTTCATTACTCAAAATCGGTTCTTAAAGGAAAATCATAAACCAGTTTAAAAGATATATTTTATATAATTATATTCGGTAATGTTTCCTGGGTCCTAAACCTAAGACATCTTGCATGAAATGCGAGACAGTGCGGCAAAACTCTATTAATAATCAAAAGGACTATATTATTTAAAAAAAACACTTTACTTTTTCACAGTCTCCCCTTGACCACGGCTGTGGCAAAGCATCCAAAACGTCGGGTCGAAGTAAAAAATCATTTTCACATAAGTTTAACTAATATATCGCGTTTTAAACCGTTAAAGTGATTTATTTAAATGTATACTACTCGCGTAAACTATAGACAGTATTTAGGACTATATTAGCAGCGACAATTAACCTGAGATTTTTCGGGCAGTATTTTAAAATAATACCGGGAAGTTGATGAATTCAGAAGATTGCTGTGACACAAATGTTAAATGCTAATTCTGAAACCCTTATTTCTCGATATGGGGCGTCGATATGATTTATGTTGTTATCGAAGACAACAATTTTTAATTTATTGAATAACATCATGTGCAATATACATGTGAAAAATATTAAAGTTATCAATTTACCGTTTCCAAGGTTTTGAACCCAGGTCCCCTCAGGAGTATATATAGGTGTAGGTATACCCTTGGGAAATAACTTGTGGTCTTTTCGGTATTTTTAAGACGGAGTGTATAAAAAATCCTTTGCATATTAAATATTTGTATGAATTTATGCCTTTGAAACTTCGCATCTATCAAGAAGCAGCGATTCAAAACGTACTAATTGATTTAGTTTCGGTCGATTTTGCTTGGTTTCCAGCCGGCTGCAGTCGGCTCGTGTTCCTTCGGCTGTGAAATCTGATGGCTATATTACGTGTTATAAGTTACACGCGGTGGCTGGGAGGTGTTCTTGAGGGTTTTCCTCAATCCATCAAAGCCAATGTGATGCTGATCCATAGATTACGAGTATGTACAGGAAAATAAGGTTTGCAAAAAAAAACATAACTATTACTTTTTAATGATAAAGGAGAACAGACAAGCATAGCATTCACGCGATGCAAATTGAAATGACCCAGCTTTATAACATCTGAAAATAATGCACTTTCGATCTATTTTTGCTTTGTAAATTCGGAAATCCACAAACTGATTAACGCGATGAAACTTCATAGCTTTTTCATCTGTTGCACAGTAGTTCCTGACCTGGAAGGAATTTCCTACTCTAATGTTGCTACCATATGGTAGGAATGAAATTTATCTAATTTAGTTAGGGTGGTAGGAATAAATAGATATTTAATTCTTAATCCAGATTGCCAGATGAAATTAAATGGCAGATAAATTGTATATTGAATAGGAACGTTTTTGACCCGCTAGGGATCTACCCATTTATTAATAGCCAAACATTGCCACCATTACAGTGACAAACCCATCAAAATAAAATCTTGAACATTAAGTTAACGATAACGAAATGAAATATATTTGGACCTGCCAAAGTAAAGTAAAAAAAGTTAAAGAAGTCCCAAAAGAACGGTAGTAGTAAAAACAGCGACAGTCAGTC